AACACGGACTACAGTGAATAAGTGAATGTCATGTGATAGAAATGAAGCGAATCGTTAAAGTTTTCATACTGTTTAAAAGAAAGATATTTATTTAGTGTTTATCTTTGTATTATAGTTTGTAAGTAAACTAACATTCTGTAAGAAACATTGTATAATTTAATAAATAGACAACAATTACGTATTAAGCATGCATTTGTAAACAATTCAAGAATATTCTAAATTGGATTAAATAAATTTGATACATTTGATGTGTTATTATTAGCACTAAGAGTCTTATTTATTTTTCTACAGTAATGTTTATAGAAAGTCGAAGCCCGTCTCCAGTTACCTTTCTCGAGTATGGTGTCTAATGGGACGTTACATAACCAGTTGTAAGAGGCAACTGCAGAGCGACTGCTGACAGGTGCAGCGTCTATACCTGCAGATTTAAGAACAGTTCTTACCCAACCGCCAATTACCGTCCTGGAGGCAAGTTTCGGTGTTCCCCGAGTCGTGATGAATAGTTGTTGAAGTGAGCCTCTTCTTGATGTCGATAGTTCAATGACCTTTTTCTACCCAGTAGACAGGGCAAATTGCTTGAACATCATGAGGGCTAAGTTTCCATCCCGATTGTTGGTGTTGTGCGGTGTCTGTTTTCGAACCAAATATTGGCAACAAAATAATGTTAATATTATCCTCTTGTATGTGACCTGGTGAAATGGATAACCATGTTAAATTATGAACTCTCCTTCCCGATGTAAGTAATAATATTGTAGCACAACGCCGACACGCTTCGAAAAATGAAATATTAATCGGCACATTGTTTTGAAACCATTGTACAACCTGTTGCGGGTCCCAAATGGGGACTTTCCTATTAATGTGGCGTGCTACTGAAACAGATTTTAACACTCGCCGCACAAATGTGTCTTGACCATTGACTTACAAATAAATGGACGACGGGTCTAATACAAAAACCACGAAATAAATGTCCCAAGTCAACCTATTCGAAATTTAAATTGTAATGTCATCGCAGTATCGCGCTGTCAGTAGAACAAATGAAGACTAAAGCGGAGTGTCGCGCTCTGTATACGATTTTAGCGCCTTACAAGTGCGGACACTTTTTAGCGCGGACCCGACGTTCATATAATTGCAAGTCAATGGTCTTGACTTAATTTTTTACTCAAATGCGGTTCGCAAATAGTGGAAACAACAGATTTATGTAACTGTATGGTTGATGGGGCAAGCTTTTCTGTAATATGGAGATCTGCGAGGAACTTAGCGAGGGCTTTTGCTTGCGGTGTAATAATGGAAACTTCGTTTTTTAAACACCACTTTACCCATCGATTCCAGGCCGGTTTATATGACATCAAAGTAGATTTCCGCCACCCGTTCATCAATACGGCCTTCTCTGCTGGGGTCCAATTTTTCAGTAAGGTGTCCCAGCTCCAATCAGCCAAGCTTTCAATATCAAATCGGTTACCTTGGGGAGCGTTAGGTTGGTAGTTACGTCTATTAGAGTTCTCTGTAGGCCGTGTGTTAGAACTGGCCTGCTGAGGGCTCTGTTCTGTAGATCTGGTCTCCAAAACGACTTTGTCCAGTGGGGGGCTACTACAATATACTGGCCCCTGCAATTGTTTAGGTGAGTCAAAACCCGAAGCATGAGTGATGGAGGAGGAAACACTCAAGCTAGTTGGTACTCCCATCGCTTGCTGGAGGCATTGTGGAATAGAGCGGCCTCGTCCCTCGGGTCTAGGGACGCGTAATGGGGAACTACGTGGGCTCGCGCTGATGTGAGGAGATCCACCTGAGGTATACTGAATTTTTGAAATATTTTGTCTGTCGCTTCTTGTAGGAGATGCCACTCTGGTATCGATTTGCCTCGAGACAGTCGATCGGCCACACAGTTGAAACGTCCTGGTAGATGTTGATAAGTAACTACAATCTGTAAGTCTTGAATTAGTTGACATACCTGGCGGGTTTGACTCATTAATTTTGATGACTTCGTGCCCCCTTCGTTCCTTAAGTACGCGAGAGCCGTTACATTGTCTGACTGAATCAGCAAACTGGCCCCGCGTAAGCCCTCTGTATTAGATTCTATCGCTCTCTGGATCGCTACTAGCTCCTTGAGGTTGCTGTGCCAAGTTTGTTGGTAAGGTTCCTACGACCCGGCAAGACACGAGTCGTTTAGTAGGACTCCCCAACCGTAATTGGAAGCATCGGTTACTAGGTAGTGAGTAATTTGTGGTAAATGAATCATAGAAAAATCGCTAACCGCACGCCGCCACCACTGTAGATCCAACAGGACGTCCTTCGGCAACATGTATTGCTGCCTTGGATGCTTTCCCTTGCGTAGCGTGCGAAGGTGACGTTGAAAGTGGCGGCAATGTAAACGACCCTGTGCCATTACGTAATTGGCAAAATTTAATCGCCCCAGATCGGACCTCGCTTCGCTGAGAGAGCAGGTCTTCTTCAAAAGAAGTCGCTGAAGCTCCTTTTGTAGTTTTACTATCTTCTTGGGAGGCAGATATTTTTCGTTCTGTAGGGTATTCCATTGAATTCCTAAGAATTCGATGTTTTGTGTGGGATTCGTAATAGATTTTTTGAAATTGAGAATCCATCCTAGAGCCTGAAGAAATTCTATGATTGAAGAAGTTTGCCGCTGAAGCAAACATCGATCTTGATTGACGATCAGAAATCGTCGAGATAAACTACAATACGGACACCCGCCTCTCGCAGTTGGAATCTCGAAATGAGATATAAGGTAAAATTTCTTTATTGTTATATAATTGTTTACATATTTCAAATTCAAAATCGGTCGGAAGGAAAGGTCTGCTTTTTGAATTATTCAAACATCGGTGACACAAAACTGGAACTTACTTCCGCTAGTTCTAAGACCTTTAAATCTAACATTGCCCGAATTTCTGCAGCCATTTGGGGAGAGTCTGGCGTTTGGTAAGTATCCAAATCTGGTATCAATAGAGCTTATAAAGCTTGGCTTTCTTATAAATGGTATTGGAAATCATTTTCAATATAACTGGTGGAGCTCTTAGAGCCACCCACCTGTGATAAAAGAGTTGTAGGCGACCCGCTTCGAAGCGATGTGAGTCAGTGGCTAATTGAGGTGCAGTGTCGGGTACTTGCGAGGTACTAGGCTCGGATACCACACGTGTCTGTCGTTCCGACACCCCCACATTTTGCACATTTTGTTGCATAAAATTATTCATAAAAACCGTTAGGTCACTAACCTGTTTGCATAACTGACCAAAAACCGAAATATCCGAATTGTAGTACTCACTGTGGCGCCAGTTAGCGCGATCTAAAGAGCTGTCGTAACTTGGAGATCTCGATCTGGAGTACGAGCGAGATCGAGATTTGCACATTCGTCTTTGTCGGTCTCTGCCTCGTCGTCGTCGTCGGCACTCGTCAGTGCCGCCAGTTGTATCGGAATCCATATCGGTACGCAATCCGACAGGATTTCCCCTTAATTGTGTATTCGCAACGAAATTCAACAACGCAATGAGGAAAACCGCGTGTCGAGTTTGAACAACGGCCACCGCATCCCCACACCGGTGAAGGGGTGAGCAGCGTGGTGGTAAGGATCCAACCACCAATCGGAGGGCAGTAGAGGCGTGTTTTGTACTAAAAATTCAGCAATAGCTCTCTCACCAAACCTGCACAAGGCGAGGAATGCACAATAGAAGAATTATCAAAACTTGGTGGGACATGCGTACTGCGTACAGCTCTTGGCTACCAAATTCAATATTGTGCCAAAAGAAGACGCTTCTTCCACAATTATGGGAAAGAAAACAATTACAAGTAAGTAAACGTGAACAAAACCTAATACTAGGGTTTCTTGTTTCTCACAACTAACATGTGCAATCACACTAAAACTTTAAAAAAAGTAACACAAACCGTTTCTCAACACAATGACAATGCATTGTGACCGCGTGCAGTTTCATCAAAACACGCAATACTATGCGCGTTGATCACATCAACGTTAGTTCACCTACACATTTATATTTTTTGTACATTTTAGGAAAACTGACTGTCTAATGCTTAATATAGTCACACAATTACGAGAGTATTCAAATGTCATTAACGATTTTCCACATTGCAACATAAACACATACTGACCCACAAGTAAGTTGAGTACGATATACGTAATAATAACGTAAAATGTGCAAAAGTAAGCAATGGAAGCAGTGAAATTGCCACAATCAGTTTCCCAATAGTTATCAGCGGGTGTGCAGTACGGCGGTGCCACCATGCAGTCGTGCATTATTTTGTTCCAGTCCTCGCCCGTCACTATGCGGAATAACATGGCGACGCTGTGGATCGGCGAGTTAAAGTTTGCTCGTCTGAAAAATAAATACAGTACTTCTATGACATTACCATCTGTTTCTCATCATCGTTGTAATTACAATATTATATATTTTAAATTTTTATTTCAATTAATAATTGGTAATGTAAACGTATGTTGTTTGCTGGTACCATAGATTTAGTATATCCATAGATTGGCCCTGACGTATTGGAGACGAGACCAAAACAAAAATACATCTGTGTGCGTATAATGTGCATGTGTGCAAGATAAATAGTGTTGCGCCATCCACTGATTTAACTTAAATATCGATTAACATATTACACCGGCATTTCATTCGTTGCATTCACCAAAATGTCTTAACGCAAAATACCGAGACGTTAATTAACTAGTTAATTAATGATTCAATAGAAAATTAAGAAAGCTACTATCACCTACTGGTAGTGCCATAGGATGGTAGGTAAACAATGGGGACTTTCACCCAAGATAACACTATGGCTCTACAAAATGGTGATAAGACCCATGATCAGTTACGGCGCGATAGTATGGAGGCCACGAACCAAGCTGACGACCGCAACCTACAAAATATAATTATTATAATTATTGTATGATATGATAACATAGAAGTGCATCACAGCAGTGAATTTGCAGATAAGTAATAGAACCAAAAAACCGGCCAAGTGCGAGTTGAACTCGCGAGGAGAGGTTTCGGTACAAACTTAACATTGTAGTTGAAGAATATGTTCTCCAATAGATTCCAACAGCAAATATAGGTTTATTCGCACAATAGTGGGAAATTTAAAGATAATTTCTGTATTTTTTCAAAACTTTAGGCTCTGTAGTTTCGAAGATAAAGGGTAGAATGATCAATTTTTGTCTATTTTCTTAAACAACTTAAAAATATTTATATTTCAAAATTCCAAAAAATATATATTCTTAACAACTTTCCCTCCCTTATAAGTATTGTGTGTGATAGTGACTTAAAAATTTAGAATTAATTTATTTACGTAGCACGTTTTGGTCACACAAATGCATATGTGTACCAAATTTGAAAAAATCAGCATCATATTTCGGAACAGAACAGAACTCTAACAACAATAAATCGTTGATTTGTTGTTGATGAGAGTAGTGCTGCACAAAAATCAATTAATTGTAAGACATACCACATGAATAATGTGGGTTTAGAACCAGAACGTAGCTTTACTCTTTGCTTGCCTCTAAAGGCATTTTATTTAAAAGCATTTTTCCTCAAAGTGTTTATTTGCCGCATATTTTTGAAAACTTTTTGGAAACCCCGTCTTCTCTCTTTGGCATTATAAGCCATTTCTGTCGTACTTCAATGATTTGAGGAAATCTGAATCAACAACAATAATTAACATAAAAAATGGGTGCCTCAACTATGCTATTAAAAGAAATTTTCGTTTTAATGTAAACAAAATATAATGTACTAATGCAATATTAACTAAATATAAAGTACTAAATCCAGAAATTTCTGATTCAATAAATAAAAAAAAATTAAGTATGAAGATGATTTCGGCAGTATGCAAGTCACGCCTTTGCCTTTCTTTTTTTCAGTTAATGACATCTCGATAACATATTATCGATTGCGTCAATCTCTATGAAAGTGGGGTTATCAATTTCAGAAATTCACGTATTTGATATATTTTTTAATTGAATTCGTATACATTTGGGTTATTAATGCACTTGAATGGTATAATTTTACGGATATATTTAAGTAAAAAACTTTTGTGGTAGTGCTTTTAGACAGCTAAAAATTTAAATAGTACTTACATGTGAAATGTACAATTCTGCGAGTTTTCCTTTTTAGATAAGTTACATCCGGACACTGAAAACTTTACAATGACTAATAAACGTCCGTTTAACACTATTTCACATTTTAAAACCAATTATTTTTCAAAAATAAACGAAATTTGTTTCGTTGTCAGCTGACCCTAGGTTCATATAGCCTCATAGCTTATAATGAAGTGGTCTCGTCTACCCATCTCGTTCTAACATACGTGTATACTAACTCTCTTTCACTTGCATTGCCAATCTATGGGTACCTATATACTAAATCTATGGCTGGTACAGAATTAATTTAATAAAATAATAATAATACTTTATTTATCGCGGACTAAAGTTCAATTGCTTACGTGGCGGAACGGTTACCATGCTGGCCGGCCACGCAGAGGTCCCGGGGTTGATTCCCGGGCCGAGAGAAATACAAAGTGTTGATTTGCATTCTCGCTATATTTACAGAGGTCATTCTATATCCAAAACTGAACCCAAATCACTAAAAAAATTTGAACATTTGAACAATGACCTATGTGCAGAAGACGACAATCTTCACGACATGTTGTTTCAACTGTGTTACAAGATGGATAAAAAATTGTAATTTGCGGAGATTTTATCATTGACATTCTAGAAAATTCAATTTATTCAAAATAACTCAATAATCTGCTCGCAGGCCTTAATCTTATGACATCTATTGATGAGCCAACTCGTCGCTGTAGTGGAAAATGTATAGACAATATATTTCATAATATAAAAGGAATCAATGCAAGTGTCATAGAATACCCATTATCAGATCATACTCCCCAATTACTGAAGTGTCCGGTTAAGAAAACATATTCGCCTGGATTTTGGTATAGATTTACAAGTGCCTTATTAAAATAAAATATGTTTATATTTGAAAACATTTGAATGGTATAAGGTTCAACGATTATTAAATTAAAATTAAAACGAAGCCTAAATGGACCTCGCGAGGTATTAAATTATGCTGTAGGAAAAAAAGGGAGATGCTATGACTTTACCGATATACTCCACATTCATTTGGTCATTGACAAAACTAAAATCATGAGTTTCAAACAAAGAAAACAGTACAAAATTAAAGCCATTGACTTTCTTGCTAAATGTATGGATGAAACAGATGTTACTAAGTTTTTGGGTTTACATGTAGATAGTAAATTGACGTGGAATCCCTATACAGAACATGTTTGTTTCACACTTAGTAAACAGTCATACTTTTTATTTAAGCTGAACAAAGTGATTGACCGAGACGTGGTTCTACAGGCATACCATGCGTACGTGGCATCCACTTTGAGATACGGTATAATGTTTTGGGGAAATGCTTCAGGTATCGATTCCATATTCCGCGCACAAAAAAAGTGTGTGAGAGCTAATTTAAGACGAACAGACAGCTGTAAGCCGTATTTTAAGGTCCTTCATTTGTTAACGTTGCCGGGTCTTTATATTTATGAGTGTTCAATTTTTATCAGAAAAAATCCTGAAAAGTTTAAGAACGTTGCACGAAGACGTACTTGCGGTAAGTTGTGTACAGAATCACACAGAACTACGCTATTTAGTAAAGCTGCACATTACATGGGGCCAAAAATGTATAATCATTTGCCAAAGGATATTAGATTGACAAATAATTTTAATGAATATAAAAGACAACTGTTAGCTTTTTTAATAAATAGTACTTTTTACTCATTGACAGAATTCTTTGACAATAATTATTTACATATATTATTCATGAATTCATTTTTATATCTTTTGTAATTTTACTTTTATTGGAATATTTGACAATTTCATTAATCGTAACAAATAGTTGAGTTTTCATTGATTGATTGTAGTAATCTTAGTAAGTTGAATGACATATATGTATGTTTGCTGAATAAATTGGAATTATGGTAGAATAAGTTGGATTTGTTTAAAATAAGATCTGATTATATTTATATTTTATGATTTTGATTTACTTAGATTATGATTATATATATACTTATTCTGACAAATAAATAAATTGATTGATTGAAGATTTTAGATCTATTTGATGGCAGGGTACGAGTAGAGACGGGGGGAGTATCGTATCGAGCGCGTGATTGGTAGATTGGTAGTCCACCTGGCGTATTGCGTCTGCGTTCATCGCGCATACGTTCTAGTTTCTCACGAGATACCAAGAGTTATTGCAAAAAACACTACCATGTACATTAACATAAAATGCGTTCTTATGGCATGATGTGAAACGTTTAGTTTACGCAGATTACGAGTGTCGAAGAATTGCGCGCAAAAAATCGTCTCTGGTTTCTTTCTGCTTTTTCTGTTGTAAAGAATGTGCTAAGTTGAAACGAACTCTGCATATCTGTGGCTGGCTCCAGTACTGAGCCTGCCACCTGCTGTGGAGCTAGGTACATCTAGCATTACTTTCATATAACCTAAAGTTGGTAAGTACCAAATCTAACTTACAAAAAATCTTTTTTCAACTTTTCTAACTCATGTAAATAATTAGTAAATTATAACAATACGTAAATAATATGATTTAAAAAACAGGTAATTAAGCGATCAAGAAAGATTACGTATCGCTCGGTGAAGCGAGTGGCGGAGTCACTGTCCCCTGCGGTGAGTACACTTGCGGGACAATTTTACAAAACTTTACAAGATACAGTTAGCCAGAATATTAAACGGAATATTTTTTAAATATTTTTAGATGATTTAGCATTATTTATATTATTAATTTCTTAAATATGGCGAGAATGCAAATCAACACCCTGTACTTGTACGGCCTATATTTATTTCTCACGTGAGTTTGGGTGTAATTTGTGGTTGTCGGTGTGTCCATAGCACCCTCGATACAAGGTTTCTCTAGTATGGGGCTATGAGTGTGTCCGCTAATACATAGTTGTTAGTAAAAAAAAAAAACTTATGATAAATATGATTGATTACAAACAAAAACAAAATAATAAATTTAAATTATAAAATTCAAATTCAAAAATTAAAGCGTTTAAAAAAAATTTTTTTTCGATAAAAAGGTGTTTTTAATATTACACAAAGATCTAATCTCCAAATAGTGGAATGTGTAGAAAGGAATACGATTTCAGTGCACTGAATTTCGGCAGTAAGTTTATTAGCACAGTTTAGAAAGGCGCGATCGATTAAAAGCTCCATTAAGTAACATGTGGTATTTTTCACTGATTGTAATTAAAAAATAGAATAGGTCGTGCCGTGAAAAGAACATACGTCAAACGACCGAATGGACGCAGACTGGTCGGACATTATAGGTACCGCTGGAGCGATGGAGTCCAGAAACACGTAAGGGATCTTGGCACTGGTGACTGGCAGGAACAGGTTCAGAAGAGGCGTGGCAGAATCTGATATCGGAGATAAAAGTCCACTTTGGGTCACTAAGCTATTGAAGTAGTAGTCGCGTATTTTGTTTTTTCAAAAAGTTGAAGCTTCGGCTTTACGAATATTTTGACGCCTCGCCACTGTAATATAGTATGTATCATTCCCAAGAGTCAGGGTCTGGTGACTTGTAGTACAGGTGTTAAGTTTTTAACAAGAACCAGCTCCTTAAAAAAATTGGAACTGTTTCTTAAATTAATGAGAACCTTCTGGTGTTTTCGTGGAGAAATAAACATATTAAAATCTTAAAATGTAAAGAACTCGGTGAAACATTAATAATACGTACCTTCCGATCCCTTCCCCGTATTTGACATTTCCGAATACAATAGTCCCCGCGAGTGCGTAGAAGAACACCAACAGAAACATCCCAAAGATAATGAAGAAACTTTTGCATACGCTCACGCCGACCGTGAGCATCAGCATCTTGAGTGTCGTGTGCTTGCCCGTGATCGTGAAAAAGCGAAGAATCACTACCATGAACCCTACGAAGTATGACAGATCATTCTGGAAATAAAAAAAAATGTTCCTAATAAAACAATGCTGAAGCAAACTCTTAGTAAAACTAAGAACCGACGATGAACTAAATCCTCAGAAATATATTAGCGGTTTTGACCACCTCAGTGGTCGAGTTGATTGCACACTAATTTTCATGGTGTCGCCATCTCTGAGGTCCCGGGTTCGATCGCCGGCCGGGTCAATGGAGAAAAACTAACTTGTCTATATTGTCTCGGGTCTGTGTGTTTGTGGTAACGTTATTGTTTCCATAACACGAGTGCTTTAATTACTTACTATGGGATCAGAGCAGCGTATGTGCTGTCTAATATTTATAATATTTCTTAACTAAATTTAAATTACGCGCTAATAGAGGTTGTGAAAAAAGTAATTGAAATATTAAATTGTTACGAAATTTCTGTTGATGATGTACATTTATAGTATTGAAACTAAAATAGATTTTTCGCTAATTAAAAATGTTTTTATTACTAAACTTGTTTCCTGTCTAGAGTACTTACGATGGTCAGATGAAATATGGTGATTATATAGCTAGACCAGTTTACAGGCTGGGATTTAAATACCAAGATTACCTTTAGGGTAAAATGCATGAATATCCAAATGCAACCGGCGACCGTGACGAGTAGGTCGTATCTGTTGCGACGGCTTTGCCAGTAACCGCGTGGCGTAAACGCTATCGTCTTGAATAGCACTTCTACTACGAACACCAGGGTTAACATCGCCGATGTTAGTGCTAGCGTTTCTGTGTTCGGCGAAAGACGGGACCACTAGAATTCAGAACACCTTGTCAAATCGAAGCAATTTTAAGGTAATATATGAACAGTTCAAAATGAGACGTATACGAAGAATTTAAACATTCACGCTTTTCATACATTATTTTGATTTAAAAAGTCGGGATTTAATAGCTCACTAAGTCACAGTCACACGCAAAATAGGCGCTTTGTCGTCGAGTTGCGGATACCAGCCCGTTGCACCAAGTACCAAGTAAGTCACAGTTCCTTCCTTCGAGACTGTGGACGTTGCAACACGTCTGAAATGTCGAGGTGAATAAAAATATTTATAAGCAATTAAGTCTCGATATTTTTAAATAAAATAATGTGTGAAAATCGTAAAATTAAGTCCCGTTTTTATTTAATCAAGCAATACATGAGCAATACGGTGAATACTGCAATGTATTTAAAAATTCCTGTTGGAATGAGACTAAAATTACTATTGTCATAAGATTGCTCCAATTTACAGAATATTTTCTTAATGCAATGAAAATCACAATAAATATAAAATAAAAATTCAATAGCGGATTGTATTTTGTTGTAATACAAACGCAGCAAGTTGCCTCGATGTGCATTGATATATTGTTAGGGACTGTGTTACCTTCATAGCTTTGTAGTATTGAATTATATTGTCTGCCAATTTACCTATTTTTTGTTTCTTTAAGGTATATTTAGGGGATTGTACGTTTAGATAAAAGTAAATTTTAAATAATATGTATTTTTTGCATACGTGTAAGTGTTTGTCCCTCAATAAAATAAAGAAATCACTAATGTAACAACTAACAACACCTTAGAGCGACAGACGCTGGGGGTGCGTTATGACACCGCAATGCTACGATTTCATCGCAACGAGTACCACGTGAACAGTCCCATATCATTCTACATAAGTTTTGTTTACAGTGCCCCTCCCTGTCAACCTGTTGGTTTTGCGGGAAGAGCACTATGACCTGTGCGCGCACAGGAACTTTACAAGTTCAGGTTCTGACGCCAGATCAGCCAGTGTACAGGGTTGTCACAGATCTCTGTCACTTGACTTCATCCGGTTCTTCGAGAGGCTACTGCCTCGGGTGAGCCTCCCCGGGTGCAGGTACAGTACCCTCCGGGATATTCTCCAGATATTTACCGGAGCTGTAGGCACGCCCACTTCCCGTTGCGCATTGCACAACTAGCGGTTGCCACCGCTAAGCCGTCGACTCTGAGTCCACTACCAAATATCCTCATTGGTGGCGGAGCTGTAAGGCATGCTCACTTCGCGACGCCGAAAAACCACGTCTCTGCAGTTCCCAATAACCTAAGCGGCTGGAGGGACCGGAGGATATCTAGCTTATCCTTTACTAGCTCTCCGGGCTAGTGCCGGAGATGCCAGTTGCAGTGTCCTGCGACAATGTCCGGACGTAGCTTCTAATTTAAAGGGCAACTCACGTGTCCCACGCGTCTCCTCGCTTCAGGCCCTTAACTAGACCGCTACTAAGACGCGCTAGCTGCTCACGAGACAGACGCCCCGGTTACATGTGCGTCTGCTCCGGCCACATGTAACAGGGGCAGACAAACATGTCCGTCTCTGTAGCTAACCACAAACCCCAGCGTGCCCACGCCCAAGTCCGGGTCCGCCAGAGACACCCGCAAAGGCGTATCACTGGCGGAGGGCTTGGCCCGGACGCCCGCTGTAGTGCCACGTGAAAAATGGGTTGTCGGAACGTAACGCCGCCTACTTATGCACCACACGCTACTTCTTCTGGCTCCTTGTACGATGCGCTCGCATTCGGTCGCCGCGCGCCGTTTTAATACACCACGTAGCAAGTAGTTCTATTAATATACAGTACAATGCAGTGTCACCCCTCAGGCGTCGTAACGTCGACGCAACGCATTATGTGGCATCGCTATTAGGTTACAGTAAAAATTCTTACCGTAACTGCCAATAGTCCACTGTTTACGAGAACTACTAAGGCGATCACTCTCTTAAAACTCAGATTCTGCGTGACATCGTATGCGAAGGCGCGTATTTTCCGACCGTCCGGTCGAGGCGGCAAATGCAGAGGCTGAGCGATTTTCAATCTCTTCTTCAAATCGCACCTGCAAATGAAATGCATTTTCTACATACTGATATAACTACAGACAAACATACAGACGACATCAAAATGTATTTTTTTTAACCGACTTCAAAAAAGGAGGAGGTTCTCAATTCGACTGTATGTTATTATTTTTTAGATAGCCCGCTCGGAAGTGGACTTACCTAATTCACATATAGAGAATTATTGCTGCATATACAACTTGTTGAACAAGTTTCTTGGTATCGAACATTGACTTACAAACAAATGGACGACGGGTCTAATACAAAAACCACGAAAAAAATGTCCCAAGTCAACCTATTCGAAATTTAAATTGTAATGTCATCGCAGTATCGCGCTGTCAGTAGAACAAATGAAGACCAAAGCGGAGTTTGGCGCTCTGTATACGATTTTAGCGCCTTACAAGTGCGGACACTTTTTAGCGCGGACCCGACGTCCATATAATTGTAAGTCAATGGTATCGAAAGTAAGTTTCATAACCTTAATTTGGTGTTGATCATTTCATGTATACATAGAACTACAAACAGCATTCACCAAGTTTTGGGTAATTTTCAGGTAGGTTTTAACTACCCAATTTCGGTGGCAATTTCTATTATTTACATATTGTAAAATATTATCATGAAGTATTATTTAATAATTCGTGTAGTAACCTGAAATATTATTTAATATTTTACGATAATTTACTCAAATACCTAAATAATAAAAATTGCCACCGAAATTAGATAGGGAAAACCTACCTGAAAAATACTACTTTACAGCAATTTATCACTTTACAACTACGGCAACAAGCTGTATATTGGCGACCTCCGTGGTCGAGCGACTTGCATACCGGTTTTCATAGTGTCGCCATTTCTGAGGTCCCGGGTTCGCTCCCCGGCTGGGTCAGTACAGAAGAACTAAATTTCCTGTATTGTCTCGGGTCTGTGTGTTTGTGGTACCGTCGTTGTTTTTGATTTCCATAACACAAGTGTTTTAGTTACTTACTTTGGGATTAGAGCAACATATGTGATGTTGTCTAATATTGAACATGCATACATTCGCGAGAAAAACAATAGCAGTCTTTTGGACTCGTATTTGTTAGATAAAAACAATTGCAAGCCTTACCATCTTCGCTGGTCAACAGTCAAGAGAGCAGTGCCCTTATTCTCCGAATAGTTGGCAATCACTACGCCGACGAACAAAGTAAGCCCAATCATGCAGCCTAAAAATATATATACGTGAATGTAGATAGCGTGTACCTGAAACAAAAAAGTATATTATAGCAGCTGTATTATATCTCGTGAGGGTAATTATGAAAAACAATATCCTTACCGGTCCTAGAGCTTTGATCAAAACGTCGCGAACATCTAGCCATCCTTTGAAAGACAGAACTTCGAATAAAGTTAATAGAGCATCACCAATGTTGTCAAAACTGAAGCGCTTTGGGTTTGCCCTAAAAATTTAATTATTATAATTTAATAAGTGGTACACAGAAAACATTTCCTTACTCCTATAAATATCCAAAAATATAAGTTATCTTTCAATAGAATAAAAAAAAAATTAAAAAAATTATAGAGTGTGTTATGAGTTTACGGTACCATACATCTATTTGCATTGAAGATTTTTTCACTCAAGACCTTGTAGTACTGGGTCACATCCAAAGTAAATTCTTATACAGGATGCTCCAAAACTCAACGATAAAATGGGACCAGGGTCTCGTCCAATTTGTAACACCCTGGTCCAGGCTTATCGTTGAGTTTTGGGATACTTTGTATATGTGTCCCAGTGCTATCAGGTTCTATGTGACAAAAATATTCAATAAAATTAGACAGAGCACCATAAAGTGTAGATTTAATTATGCATCAAACCACAAAAAAGTCACACTAATCGCCAAATGTTTAGAAATATAAACCTACGTACCATACTCTAGGAACTAGCATAGAAGGAAAAGTCTCATTAGGCCCAGGCTTTAGTTTCATCTTCGTTACGAACACTCGACGCATGAACACACCGACACATTCTGACCGGTTCAGAATAGTGGGATCGTTACAGCGTGCCAGACGTCCACCGTATAACTGTACACCATAACTCGCAAATACGAACATGAGTAAGATTAACAGAGTCGATACCTGAAAGACGGACAGAATTATAGAAATATCGTATGATAAAGCCACATAACGTCAAGTGCTTTTATGACAAGAAAATCATAAAAATATCTAAAAATAATATGTCAAATTATCTGTATGTGAAATTTTATAACTCTCCTATTTAAGCATAAAAAAGTTATCGACTAATTTCGTTCGTAAAATCTATAAACTTTTTCCACAAAAGTCGTAATTTTGTAGATGTAGTTATTACACCAAGGGTATACAGAGTGTTTTTTGTAACTGGGACAGTATGGGAAAATCCGAAACCATAGGAGATACAGAAAACCAGTCTTAGGGACCGTTAAGTATTTTTTGTGAAAACAATTTTAGCGTAGTAAATTTTTCCATTTTATTGGAAGAAAAAATCGGGACAGCGCATGTGCACGAGCACATTCCTTTTGATATAGTTTGTTTTTTTATACCTTTAAATTTTGTATTCTTTTTCACATCACGTTTTTGTTATTCGTTGTTGTCAATCGCTACATAAAATACGTTCCCAAAAATCCCAAATGATTACTAATTTCTTCTCTCCCTTCATTCGGAACCACTAGACAAGCGTCTCGCCAATATTGATGTCCTTCGAGCCGGATATAAAACGAATGGTGAAATTTAATTTTTTTTTATTATTATTTTTTTTTTTGTAATATTTACAGCAAATTTGAAAAATAAATATATGCTAAGTTACAGGTGAAAGTGCTAATTCTAAATCTCCACACATTAATAAAATGTTTTTCATAGAAAATGAACAAAATGAACGATTTTTAATGCCGGTAGACTCAGTTTCTTATAGGGATAATTTCATTATATTGGAAGAAAAAAATTGGGACAGCAGAAGTTGGGTTAAATTGAATAAAATGTTATTATTCATTTTGCATGAAAAACATTTTGAATTAAATTTGACCAATTACTGCAGTGCCGAATTTTTCTTCCTAAACAATGAAATGATCCTTACAAAAAAACTGAGTCGATCAGCACAAAAAAAATTTACTCATTTTTATGGACAACTCAGACTTGACCAAAAAAATTACTATGCAAAATTGTTATAACAAAAAAGATTTAATGGTTCTTAAGATAGGTTTTCTGTATCTCCTACAGTTTCAAATTTCTCATATTGTCCCAGTTAAAAAAAACAGACTGTATACATACATACACTGAGCTCAGTGAAGCTAAGCAGAATGGAATACTGAGTTGCTTCTAATGTCATCATCAACCCATTGTAATACCCACTGCTGGGCGCGACCTTCGTCTCTAAGGACCAGCGCAAACCCGCGGATGGCGGATGAGAGCATCGAAGAGGATTTTATTATTATATACCTTTATTTCAGACAACATGTGTACATTTACTTGTAACGTACATTTTACTTACGGACTACGTTATGTAAAAAACATTGGTGTCATTGTTTTGGTACTTGTCAGCAACTATTTTTTGCTACCCAGCACCTGATGGAAGTGGCGCATAATGAGGGAATCGTACCTTCCCGCCACTGTTTTCAGGGTTTTGTACCCGCCAGCGCACACCGGTGAGGGATTTCCCTTGCGATACCGCGAGCGCCCACACACGTAGCGCAGAGTCCGCCGAAATGCCGCGGCATCCGCCGACATGGCACCGGTCGTTCGGATTTGATTCCGTTCGACTGGCTACAACGCAGTCGAAAAGTTCCCAGCGCATATAGGCAGACTCCGGCGGTATATGAATGTATGCAGCGCATGCCAGTGACTTCCGTCGCATGCTGGCGCCGCAGAGAGAAATGCGACGCGATGTTCCGAGGTCGGCCTTGAGCATTGCAATTTAAACCTTATTTCAATTCCCATAGCATAAAATATGCATTGATAAATTTAATGTCCTCTGTCTTCCCATCCGCCGGTATGCATTGGCCCTAAGGAGTTTGTTTGTTCACACTTGTGGGACTTCAAACATTAGCGTTGAAAAGTTGTGAACAAGTTGTTTCATCACGACGTTTTCCTTCACCGTTAGCGTGAACTATTGTGACTAAATATTCACAAATGCTGTACCTGAGAAGCATTACACTTTAAGCGCCATTTTTGTAATTTTACGGGAGAAGCTATTTTGTGTCGAAAAACCGTTTGTACGACAATTAGTAGCTCGAAATGTTATTAAAACTCAATTACTTTTATTTCAAGCCATTCTGAATTTTGTACATGCAGCATTTCGACACAAAATCGCGTCCCCTGTAAGATTACAAAAACAGCACTTACAGTGTAATGCTTCTCAGAGTTACGGAATGTATGTCATAGGGACATGACGCGTCGCCTCAGTGATTCAAACCGTCGACCTCACAATTGAAAAGCAATTCGCTGTACTACCACCGCTCTTTCTTTTTTCTTCTTGATATCATTGTATTTAGCTTTAGCTGTTTCGAAGGTAAAAAAGTTAAAGTTGTGTAAGACAATCTTTAAACGCACCAGCAAGATTTCCTTGAAGCCTCGACACAATTCGTAGACGACTTTGCGCATGTGCGGAACGAGTGTGAAGATCCGCAGCGGACGTACGCAACGGAGGAACATTAGCATTTGGGCTGCTGAGCCGGGCGGTACGCGGCGGGGCATCCAACACAAAAACGTTAGCGATACCTGACGGCATAAATTAATTTCGGCATGCATCAAATTTGACATCTATGTACACCTGACGGCAAAAATTAATTTTGAGCTACATAAAATTTGATAACTGGGTAAACGCGTAAGTACCCCTACCCCGGGGGTCCTTTATTGTCATATTTATTTATGTAGATAATTAATAGATTCCTGCATTCATTTCCGGAAATTCATGTTAATAAAAATGGAAGTAAATTGAAGGTTAAATCCTGCAAAATAGCTGTGCTTGTTATTTATTTTATTCATTATATGCAGAGGGAGGTTGGGAAATTAATTGCATGAAAAAAATATTCAACACAAGCGTACCTATTAGTAATGTATTACTTGGTAATGTTAGTTCTCATTATTCAAGGAGTGGGGCCTGGTGACTTGTATTACAGGTGAAATACCAAAATCAAGCACCAGCTCCCACAATATAGTACCGTAATGTACCTACTAAGATTTATACCGTTTTGTATTTTGTGGTGAAAAATGAACATATTTATTATTATTATTATAATCGCTATTTTGCACGATTTAACCTTCACTGCGTTCGCGGAGTGGCAAATTAATTTACTTCCATTTTTATTTATCCTGTAGTTTGATTTGAACTTAAAAGTAATCATCATATATTTATATCACTATATATAGTCTATTGCCAAACTGGCCGGGTGGACGTGTCCAATATTTGTGCTGTCTATGTAGATGTTTTCAAAAATTTATATACAGATTTTACTTACTATATAAATGAAAACATCCAGAACTGAAGCAGCATCTTTCAGATACGCTTTAGGTGTGAAGAATAACCCATCAGCTAAGATTTTTAGCGCTAATTCCAAACTCATAAAAATCACGAAACCGTACTCGGCAATCTGAAACATTGTGTTATTTTTATATGATATATCGAACTGTTGATATAATAGTGTATAATCCAAAAATAATCCAAAAAGTGACTTTTTCAGAATCGATGAAAAACGAATTACTCCCGTGAAAGATCTTTACAATTATGTATAGGTTAAAGTTTATTACATTATTACAGATATCTAATCAATTTCCTATTTGCCAAACGTATTTGAATTAAATAAAAGAGAAAAATAATTTCATATTTTTGAGTAAGGATTTTTTTGGCCAGAAGTAGCTCATAAAGTTTTGTCTTATTTTGAGTTGAGTAGATATCTTTCGATTGTTTTTTGCAATATTCTAACGATGGTTTTGTTGAGGTGTAGATAATCAAATTTTACATTCAACAATGTATAATCTTCATTTTCACATATTTCGAGTTACAATACTGTTGTAATAGCTGTACGATATGATAGATATGATACTATGATTTTTCAACATTTTTATGACATGCTAAATGTGAAAAATGTGTTTATCGAGATAATAAGTAATAATTTCATTCAAATAAGTTCAGGTGTTTCAGCGTGATTGAGTAATAAACATCCACTAAACTTCGATATGTAATTTGTATGAGAATTGACATGATGTAATCAGGGAAAATAATACCTGTAAAACAGAATTTTCCATAACCCTGTAGGTAGGCGTTTCGAACATCATAGAGAAACAGGATAGCGTGGTCGCCATTATCATCACCCAGTCCAAATACGTCACCAGGCCGAGGAAATTGCTATAATAAAATAATTGTAAATACAATTATCAATCATAAAGTAGAAAGCAGATTTTTTTTTTATATTATTAAGTGACGTGACGAGCAAGTCGTGCGCCTGATGGTAAGGTAGACGCCTGTCCATAACAGTTGCAGTGCCACTCAGAGCTTTAAATCGCAAAGTCCTGAGGGGCACTGCCACTGCGCCCGTCACCCTGAGATATAAGTTGACAAGACCCATGTGCCTGTAATTTCACCGAATGCGACCGCGTGCGTATAACTGTCATGGCAAATACGCTCTATTTGTTTAGCTTTTACGTTTTAACTTAAATGAGCGTCCCGGACACGCGAGCGAGTCTGGTTTGAATTTGGCCTACGCGGCGGCCCGCGCGACAGCCGGGCGGCGGCCGCGCTGTAGTATTATTCAGAGGAATTTAAATAGTTGCCTAGTAAATATAATTCAGATTCGCCATTAATGTATATAAAGGCGTGGTATATACAAAAACTATCAATAATCTAGGTACATAAGAACACTCCGTATATACGAATTTAAAATTAATATTTTTGGAATTCTTATATGATACCAGTATTAAACGTATTTTAACAGATCCATTCAGCTTAATGTCAGTATGAATCGATCAATCACAGGGCTCTTAGCGTAGATTAGAAATGTGCGCCACGCCGCGTGGCTACCGATGACTTATTGTTTTATTATGGTACTTCATTTCAATAAAATATTTCCGTACAATCAAAATTAATTACTGGACATCTATACACAACCCATTCATTAAGAGGGTTCATTTTTATGTGATTGCTTTTTTACAAGTTCAACCTGCTAAAGTTCAATTGTAAAAAACGTTGAAACGACGTTTTAGAGTTTTTTAGACACCTAAATATATGCATGAGCTAAATTATCAACAAAACTATTATTATAATTTATAGAAAGATAGAACAAACTCAAAGAAATACCCCTTCGAGCCGTTAGGACTTGAACCAGTGACTATAGCTCTCGCAACTGAACTACAGAACGGGTCAGCAGACCTTACTTTCTCTATGTGCTTGCCGCATCTTTGTTTTTTTTACATTTTAACGGCTTTTTTGCCGTAGCGCCATCTGTGAGAAAACTTTGAAAGTTTTTTCTTCTCTCAACCAGTAACTAAATTATTAATTTAGGTGCTTAGATATAAACAACATATACTTACTGGAAACTTTTATAGTGGACCTTCCTCTCATTGCCCGTAACAGGGTCTCTAAGACGAGCATCGTAACGAGCATCAACTATGGCGCGACATATCTTCCTGAACCGCGATTCGCGTGGCACTATCAGCAATGGTGTATCGAATAGTGGATGATTCTCTCTTAGATCTTCTTCCCGTTGATTTCTGAAACGTTAATTTGTGAAGCTATATTCTTTTTGACCTCAACCTTTTTGTATGAGACTTATCTTACCTGTCCTAGCGAAAAGTGTATGGTATGTATGTACAGTCAAGAGCACGTCAAGCTGGACACTTTGTATATTGGATCGTTCTTATTGTAAGCGGCATAGACTTGACGTGCTCTTGACCCTGTACGAGTGTGGAATCTTTGGGAAAACAATAATTTAATATATACAAAAATACTTTATTTATAGGTGGTGAGGTATATAAGGCCTAGCCGGAAACAAGGCTCTGTATTAAAAATGTTACAATAGTGTAACTAATTAATTTAAGTATGTTGTCCTGTATGCGTTTTATTTGACGATTTTAAAGTTTGAACTGATTTCCATAGTCGTTTAATTTACTACGCCTTGACGACCTCTGTGGTCGAGTGGCTTGCACACCGGTTTTCATGGTGTCGCCATCTCTGATGTCTGCTGCTTGTGGTCCCGTCGTTGTTTCCGATTTCCATAACACAAGTGCTTTAGTTACTTACTTTGGGATCAGAGCAACGAATGTCTTTTTGTTGTCTGTGTTGTCTATTTATTTATTATTATTCATCACTTCAGATTACGATAAAACTTTTGTGTGTTGTTGCTGCAGGCGAATAGGCGGTTTTTGGCTGTTGCAGTTAGTTCACCACGTAATTTTTTTTATGACAAGGTGACGGGGCGAACAAGTTGTGCGCCTAGTAGTAAGCGACACGCTTATTCATAACAGTTGCAACAAGTCCCATGTGCCTGTAGTTTCACCAACAGTAACTTTCTTTTGTTTCGACAAATGTGTCTACAACTGATAATGCGGTTCTTTTGAAAAATTGACACGCGTGGTACAGCTAGTATATATTATAAATAGTGTCGATAATAATTACTTCGGCAGTTTTTTGCATTCCTGGTTATACGAAGGGAACCTATTGGTTATAAAATCTTACCTACGCATTTCCGCTTGTTGCCTTTTAGCCTGCAATAGTCGAATATCAAGGTAAGGCGGTCTCGCACGAGATGAAGGCACTACTCGGGACGCAGCGCCGATGTCTCCGTTCTCAAGAAAGTGCTCATACGTTTGCTTCAATTTAATAGATCCACTGCGCACCGAACGCCGTATAGATCGCGATCCAAACCTGATCACAAAAGTTGATATGAAACTACGCAACACAATAGTGATAGTCTAGTTGGAGGAACTACTGCCACCTATATAGGAGGTCTTGGGGCTGATTACTACCTCGAGACAAGTATTATACTTCAAAGAAGCAGTGATCGTAAACCTATCTATCTTATCTTTCCGTTTAATGTTTGGAAACTCTGTTTCTTTAAGTTTTTTATAGTGAAAATATTTTGAAATAGATTCAAGTAAAAATGGAAATTTTTCATTTAATTTATAATAGTCAATACTACGAGTAAAACAACGTAATAATTGTAAGTACCAAATACGTTCCTGAATTTTGTTTCACAGCATTTATTAAATTGCTTTGCTTACAGAATGACTGTATGAAATGGTGCCTGATAAAGGACCCAATATTTCCTTCTGGTCTAGTGCTAAAATAAACAAAGTATAGTCAGTAAATTTCAAATCATGTGCCGTTCAATTTGCTATTCATCACAAGCTTGAAGGGGACGGAAAATATTATGACAAAATGTTAATGTCACGGAATCACAAAATTCCTTCTTGAGCCGTCCTTAACCCATATTGAGCCAAGGTCATGGACTATGCCCTATATGTAGGTAATTTTCAGGATAGTTTTAACCTAATTTCGGTGGCAATTTTTATTATTAAAATATTCTAGAATACTATCAAGATTACATAACATTCAAGTGTAGTATCCTGAAATATTATTTAATATTTCAAGATTATACACTCGAATACTTGATTATTAAATACCGCCACCAAAATTAGGTAAATAAAACTTACCTGAAAATTACCATTTGCTTTAATTACGACGATGATTTTAAATCATATACAATACTACTACAAAATTTAACATAATAATTTTAGACTGTATTCGACGACCTCGGTGGCTCAACGGTTGCACCCCAGGTGTTAGATGAGAAGGTTCCGGGTTTGATTCCTAGTTAAACCAATTTGGGGAAATTAAGTTTTCTAATTTGTTCTGGTCTGGGTGTTACAGAGTGAATTCCATTACTCTGGTGCTAGAGTAATTGGTGTGGTCGTCTGGCACATTATTATTATTATTCAGGTTTTTAACTCGATTGATTGACCCATTGGGTAGTAGTGATTAAATACAAATACTTTACAAAACAAACACGCACTTCTTTTGATCGACACGCAACTGTTTCGCACTGCTGATGGTTCCCTGCGGTTTCAACCCCGACTTGCCACCGGGGCCCAGCATCGCCGAGTCACCTAGCACCACTCGACGATGATTCTTCGAATCTCTGTAACATGTAACTGCTGATTAAATTTAAATCACATGGAAATATATAAAAAAACAGCATTTAACATTGACCTGCCAACAAATGGACGTCGGGTCTAACACAAAAACTACTAAAAGCATTTAAGTTAAATTGTAACGTCATTGCAGTACTGGTAAATTTAAGGGCCCAAAAACACTATACTCAACTTCTACTAGAAACTTAACAAAATGCACCATAATTAGCTTCGACTGAAAATTACTTGAAGTCAAGAGTAATGGAGCAACCTTTATTGTAAATATTATTGAATTTTTATATATGTCGAATTTCGTACAAAAAATAAATAATAAAGGGTTATATATACACACATCAAAAGTGTCTAGGGATCAAGTACGTTTAAGAGTATTGCTGCAATTAGGGTTAATTATATTAACTTTTTTGTATCGCTATTGATAGTTTTTAGTGCGTTTTAACATTTAAATGAGGAATATTGTTTAAAATTCGATAATAAGAAGAAAATCGATTGTCAATGTGGTTTTGTATAAAAATGAGTTATAGCGTTTTGACAAAATCATTACAATATCTGCATCGGAACCGAAACAATTTACATTATTATGGAGAGACGACATCATTTAACCCGAGAAGTGATGATGCGAGCCGTCGGAATGTTGGAAGCTGGTTCCAGGCAACGTGCTGTGGCTTTCACTCTTAACACTACACAGAGCGTCATAAGTCGCCTCTGGACGCGCTATCGCATGACGGGCAGCGTGGCCGAGCGACATGGAGGACGATCTCGCATCACGGCTCGCAGACAGGACCGGTATATCCAAAATACTGCTCGACGGAATCGTACCATGACCGCCATGATGTTGGTTACGAGGCTCTACAGCTCCTCAGGCTTGCTAATAAGCGATCAAACAATCCGAAATCGTTTACGTGAAGTGGGTCTGCGATCCCGAAGGCCGCTTAGAGTTCCACCTATTGCACCCTGCAATCGCAGGACCCGTTTACGATGGGCTCGCGAACACAGAAACTGGAAGGAAGAAGACTGGCGCTATGTGTGCTTTTCGGATGAATCCCGCTTCGGTATGAGACCGGATACAAGACGTACTCGAGTTTGGAGAACATCTGGACGTCATGAACGTTTGAGATATTGTCAGGAAGTTCATCCAAATGGTGGGGGAACAATAATGATATGGGCCGGTATTTGGATCGGCGGAAGAACCGATCTCATTTGGATCAGGGGTAACCTCAATGCTCAAGTTTACGCAGAGAGGATTGTTTCAGATGTTATCATCCCTTTGCGAGGCCAGTTGGGTGATTCATTTCAACTAATGCATGACAACGCACGTCGACACACGGCTAGAGTCGTAACACGCATTCTTGCCGAAGCTCGTATCAACGTTCTGCCGTGGCCTGCTCAATCGCCAGACCTCAATCCAATTGAGCACGCATGGGATATGCTTCAAAGAAGAGCTGTGCCGAGTATGCATACCGTACATACTCTACAACAATATTTTGACTTGTTACAAAACACATGGGCGGCCATTCCTCAAAGTGATTTTGATGAACTCATCTTAAGCATGCCAAATCGCTGTAATTGTGTGATTCGTGTTAATGGTGGAAATACAGACTATTAGTTTTCTTATCTTTACAATAAAAATGAGCAAAATCATCATTTTCGCCATTTTTTTGTCATTTAATTGACGCCGTTAATTTGAGTTTTTTCCCACAATTTGCAAAAACATCAATTTTAGTTTATTTTAATTAAATATAGGGGTAAGCGGTTAAATAAAACATAAGCATTAAAGTAAGAAGTCGTCTTGGAAGACTGGATTTGGTAAATATTGCTTAAATAATTTTTATTTCAAAAATATTCACTTGATCCCTAGACACTTTTGATGTGTGTATAATAGTCATACATACAAATATAACAAGTGTGAAAATAAGCGTGTACTTTAGGAAATGTACCGACCAATATTTCAACCGATTTATAATAAAACCGTTACATTTTCAAGTAATTTTGATGCTTTTCACAAAGACAAAATTAGCTTTTATTTTGTAATATTCCTAAAAAAATACATTTGACAATATGAAAATTCGATATAACGTTATTTCGTGCAATACTTATTTTTGACACAAGCGCGGAAAGTTAGTCATTATTCAAGAACCTCGAGGCTTGTTGGCCCGAGCCAGAGGCGAGGGTCAAGACTCGATACAAGTGAAAATGACAAATCCGCACTTGTGTCAAACGTTTGCGAAAAAACTACATTGAAAGTAAAATACAAACAGTATTTTAAAAAAAGTAAATGAAAAAGGCGGGATTGTAAATGAAAAAAAAGTTAGTACTTTTTTTGGCCTACTTTTTCAATATGGCAACTGTTGCCAGCAACATTAAAATGACTATGTTAGTGGCGCGGCGCGCAGTGGTCTCGCGTAATACTCACCTCCTGTCATTGTTTAATACTCAATCAGCCTTCTTTATGGAAAATATTTTAGTATTTTTAATTGTAACCCGTTGTTTTATAAAACACTTATGCAATTTAAACAAATAAGATTTTATTGACGTTAACGATTGAGAAGTTTTAATGACAAATTACTTACATACGTCACAAAGCACATAAATATTAAATAAGTATACAACCTCTTTAGTTCTATGTTTAAGACTTGAAACAACAGCAAATTAAAAAAAAGTAAAAAGCACTAGTGCGAAAACTCCAACTTTCGGCTCGATTTGTAGTACGAAAAATACCACGTTTTGAGCAACTGTATTAAAAAATATATTTTCTGACTTCTTATAGGTAATCCCAAGCCGTAAAACGAGTACAACAATATTTTGTTAGTTATTGCTAACATTTAATAAAATATCATTTTAAAAATAAGATTAAAATCAAAGCGACTCTATAGTTTCTTTGATCTGAATATTTCAATCGGTTGTGATTCGAACAATTGAAAATGACCAAGAAGTTTATATAAGCTTCTTGAAATTGACGTAATGGGTCTCTTTCCATCTTTTGCGCATGCATGTGTAGAAAAAGAACAGCTAGCAATTTGATTACTTTGTTTGCTGTTGTAATTTATATTTACGATTAATTTATATATAAATCAAGCACAATACAACTGTACAAAATAACACTTTTAAATGATACCTATGATAACACAATATATTTTGTTTAGTGAAAATATGATACAAAATCTTGCTTTTACACTTTAGTGCAGTAATTTTTACAACTTATTATTATATAGTACTGCATGATTGACAACCGCGCTGTCAGTCGAACAAACGAAGACTATTGCCCGATTGACGCTCTGTATAAGATTTTAACGCCCTATACCTAGATGCGGACACTTTTTAGAGTGAACCCGATGCCCATTTGTTTGTAGTGCAATGGCATTTAATAATAAAGCAAAAGAAAAAACAGTAAAATAACCTGATCAAAGATCTGCACCAATCAAACAAAACCTGTAAATAAAATAGCTTCATAAAAAACAAAAGAATGCATAAAAAACAGAGATTTAAATTAAAAAAAAAACCTCATTACAAAACGGTGTACAGTACAGTGCAAACGGCTCGTCAAGATAAATTCAATGAGCCCGAATAAGACGATTGTACTGCTGGGAATACTTGAGGAGTTAGGTAGTCTGAAGAATGTCTAGTCAAGAACTAGGACAGTTAAAGCATCCGATCAATGTTACGATATTATTGTCATGTCATCGGATTTCCATAATATATCAAATTTCAAGTCGATCGAACAAGAGAAAGTAAAATAAATATTAATATATACATGTTGGCCCATTTTCAGTGGTCCAAAATTTTTTTTGGTAGACGACATTGTAACGCCCCATTTAAAATAAGCTGATTGATTTTCGCGGAACTAATGTTTATTGCAAATGGGTCGTTACAATGTCCTCTATCTAAATTTGAACCACTGTAAATGAGCCACCGTGTATATAATAAAACTGAGATCCCTACACTAACTACTAAAAGGGCTGATGATCTTTAAACAGCTGAACAGATATTCATCTCGATGATTAATCGTTCCGAAAAAATTACCGTACAAATAAAAAAGCCGCTGTTATATTAGTCCAGCGTTTCGGAGCTTCGATGTCACGGGCATACAGACCGACGAAAATACACAGACATAGGCTTTAAAGTATTAATTTCCGCAAAGTAATGCCTAAATTCTTTTAATCACTTACAGGTTTGAAACTTATAACTCTCCTCCTTTTGCGCCGGGGATTAAAAAGTGAATCACTGCACTTCAGTTTCGAATTGTATTACTAATTCAATTGATTATTAAATAGTGTAGTATAAATAGAGTACTTAGTATTTAACTTACTCAATGATAGACGCAATAACACCGTTCCTAAGCGAGTTAGCAGGACGATGTGACGGAGGCTGTACTTTGGTCAATAAGTGTCTTAACACGCATCGTTTGCGGTAGGGGAACGAAATTTTGTGTTCGCCTATGTACTCGAATGCACGTCGTGATACGTCCGGGGCAGGCTCCGCGGCTGCTTTCACAGCTCGAATGACACCGATTTTCTCCTCACCATCGTATTCGCAGACGAATTGTCGCATGAAAGATTCCCGAACCTATACAAAAGATAGGACATTGTTAAAATCCAAATTAAAAGTTAAAAATTGGTTACTATTTACGTAATTTAACGTTTTAAGACTTAACAAAAATGTTGTTTTGCCATGCACAATAAATGCAGATTCGCGTAGGAAAACATCTATAAACTGTTTAATATTATTATAGTTTAAGTTTACTTAATAAAAACTAATATAAGTAATACTGTAACTATCAAAGATTCAAATTCTTACCTTAGGCAAGTTAAAGTCACCAGGTACTTTATGGAGTCGGGTCATCTGCGGACTGTCGGGAAATTTCTCGAATATTCTAAGACGAAAGGGCAAGCTTTCTTTGATCTCTGCGCTTTGCTGCCGGTACCGGAGCTGTTTAAGTTTCTTTATGTCCTCGTCCAATTCTAAATTGTCAAGGATTACTGCTACGAAAAGTGACAGCACGATCTGAAAATGGGGTTCGAGTAAAACATTGTACTAAGCGATTATTCATAGACTAATTGCATATTTCAAAACACTTGGACATGGATACTGTGTTTTAATTAACTTAAACTTAGTTTAAATAAAATTAGTGTTTTAAGAGTCTATACAACCTCAAATGGCGTTGGTTGATTCCGCATAACAGTGAGTGTTGAATCAATCACATTGGAAAAAATATATACATAGTAAAATTTAAAATATACACTGATTACTATACGGTGTGGAAACCCGATTCCTAAAAATTTTCAAGATAGAAAAAACACGGACTTACCTCGAAATTTTATAAGAAAACCGTTGTATTCAATAGGTACCTTACATATACCAATGATTTCTTTCTATATCAACTAAACTAAATAGAATACGTATACTATACGGTACGATATACGTTTTTCAAATGACTTTCATTTCGTTTGCAAAAAAATAAATTCCGAAATAAAGCCAGTGTCCCTGCCGCTCGATCCAAGCAAAATGAACCATATCAGTACGGGAAAAATTTGAATTCCAGCTGAGGTACTATCGACTCTTCGCCTTGAAATGGTATCGTGGTTGTGTAGGTTTTCAAGCGTGTGAGGTAGACGTGGACAAATTCATTGCACCATATTTAAACATTTGCCTTTTGCACATAGAAATAAAATATATATTCTCTGTCTGTAAATTAACTCAGTCGTGTTTCGGGCCCTATAGTTCACTACACATATACCTTCTGTTTTCATTATCATTTCATTTTCGGTGTGGTCGAAACACGTCAAAATATATATTTTGGGTCACACTTCACCTTAAGTCGCATAATTGAATGCTACTCACCAATGTTACGAACAGATGGTACAGTATAAAGTAGATGGCCACCAATGGTGTTAACGTTTGGCTAGTCCGCACCATCGTCTCGTCCATAACCTCCACCCATGCTTCTTGCGTCAATATTTGGAACATAGACATGAAAGCCTAAAACAAATTTTCTTTCACCACTATTGTATAAACAGTATTGTACTCCATTATTGGTAAGTTACACAACTTAGGTTTCGGTTCGAGAACCAATTTGAGAAGATGAAAATTGAAATTACCAAGAATCTTATCACGATACAGTTTAGGACCTAAAATGAATCGTTGTGAGACAGCGCTCTGTCAATTCAATTTACAGGCAACATGATTAATTTGGAGCAGGTACAAAGGAGTGTCAAAATAATATATATTTTTAGCCGATATTCAATAAATAATCTCAGTACAGATTACTAAAAAAACTGACCTCAAAAGTCATTCATCCCCTAGTTTGCCACCCTTAAGAGGTGGAATATTTTATTCAAATTTAAATGGGACCACTTATGAGGCACACTCATTCCAACAAAAAAGAAACATCAAAATCGGTTCACAAAGGTTATCGCGTAAAATACATATAAAAAAAAAACATACAGTCGAAATGAGAACCTCCTCCTTTTTTAAAGTCGGTTAAAAATACATTTCATTCAAAGCCAATATTAATAGATTTACAATACAAATAGATTACAATACAAATGGATTTTGAAGAAAATAAACTAAAATTCTTAACTTTTAAGAAATAAAGGAATAGTTTCTTTCATGAAACCGGCTTTAGATTAATTGTCTACGTAAAAACTGAGTTAAATTTTCTTTATGGACATATTAGATTTATTTATGCGATGGTACTTAAGTTTCTAGGACCAATAATAAATTGTTAACTTGTAATATCATACCTCAGGAAATGTCTCAAACTTCGTGAATTCGCATAAATAGCAGAACAGTTGCATCGATATAGAAGAGCTGATAATAAGCAAGCACATGGTAAATATAATAAGACTCCCGAGCTTCTTTCCAGGTCCAAAGATCTTGTACACGAAACCTTCGAGTAGTGGAGACGCTTTTATCAATCGTACTATTCTTAATACCTGAAATTAACACCACATAAGGCATCATACTATATTGACAGTGTCTTAAAAAAAAACATTTTTTGCTATAATCGCCACAGTTAGCAGGAAGAATGATGGCCGTAGTAATGCTGCAATCTATGTAGAGACTTGGTCATCTCTAGTATTTTATCTCTTAAACACGACAGGGGTAGATATCACGCCATCTTCTTATCAAAACGCCAGTGTCAAATAAAATCGTTGAAGAGTTTTGGCCACGCGGACGACATAGTCAGTGGTGTCATATAGGATTTATTTGTGTTGGCATTAGTTGAGCCCGACTAGTGATTATGTTAAATTCTGGTTCAAAAAGGCCTATGTCTCGCATTTGAGTACCTTGGCTAAAACAAGCTGTTACTGAGTCATAGACCTTTTTCTAAAGATTATGTTGCAAGTACTTAATAGTCTGTATTTCAAATAAAACAGGTACAAAAAAAAAAATGTTAATAAACTTATTTATAAATATTATTACAAATAGTTTTAAGGCAGATGGAATGTAATGAAAATGTGATATTGAAAGAAACACTGTTTGTATGTAACCATGGGAACAAAGGTTACAAAATTAAGTCCTCTACCTATTTTCAATTTATTTTATTACAAGAGATAGTTTCCTTTTATTATATTGTGTTTTTCCCTGAAAATTACTATAATTAATTCATACCTGAAAATAAGTAAATCCAGACATGTATAGCTGTGGTATAATGTGAATGGTGGTACCAATCGCCAGTAGCAACTCAAACTTATGAACGGAATGTTTGAAGTATCCTTTCCAGCCTAAACACCATATCTTCAGTAACGCCTCTAGGTCTAAGAATATTGTGAAAGCTATCTGTAAATTTTAATAGAAACAGAATGTTTAACACAAATGTTACCATTTTATATGTAAATGAACACAAATTTATTTTGAACCCTGATATCGAGTTTAAAAAAATAACAAAAATAAACATGAAATTATGAATGAACGACAACATGCACGAAAATTGTTCAAAAATAAATTATAATAATACAATTTTTTAATTTCAAAACATGCCGAAAGCCAATTATACTGCTTATATTCGTAACTGAAGATGATACAAACTCCGAGAAGCACATATTTACCTCAATGTAATAATATTTTTCGTAAAAGTAATGTCGGGGGTGCCCATCGTGCTTGAAATCCATTGTGGCTGTGATCACACCATTGGCCAATACGACACCCATAACTAAGAGGCGAAAATACGCTGAGCGCAGCATTTTGTGCAATATTTCAGGAGCACTACCTATGAGAACAAAAATTTAACACAAAGTTAGGAACAAGCTCTCTCTAGGAAGGAAGAGAACAGGGCAACATAGTGAGTTCAAGAGCGTCACGCAATGAGTGCTGGTCCGCGTCATATTTTAAGTATCGATATTTCAGTAAAAATATTGAGATTTGTCAGAATGCATAGGTAAATCCTTATTCTTTACATTCAATTACATAATCATAGCAACAAAATGTCAAGAACATATCCAATATGATGCCAATGGTTGTCTTTCTGATAGTACTTTAGTTTATTCGCATTTCATTTCTTCAAACAGTAAATTAAACAAATTTCATACGCCATAAAAATCTATTTGATATGTTGAGATCATACATTTTCATGATTAAAAAATGAAACTATTTATTCAGATCTGAAACACATTGGAAAATGAAACATTAGCGCATATTTCTTTTTCAAACAAACCATTTTTTTCGAATTTAAATCGCGTGTACTTGTTTTGGAAAATTTGGATTCGAAAAAATAGTCATTTTCCAATATAATATGTCTGACAACAAAATTTCTATTATTGTTGTGTGCTCAAGACTTCAGAAGATTCTTGTTTATTTTTCATTAATCTGTTATAACTGATAGAGACCCACATCAATGTCTCTAGAGTCTAATGTACATGTAAGTTGAACAAAGAATATTTACCAGAATGTTTATTTTCATCAATCATAACAAGTTTCCATCCATTATCATCACCAGTGAAGAACTGAGTGGTACTCCCTTTAGTTATAGGGTTCCTCACTCCCCACATTTGTTGAAATTGTACCCTGATCTCATTAAACGTTTCAGTAATAACAGCAATGAAAACATTCTTCACTAGCCAAGCCAAGAAGAATATCATTGTACTGTAAAAGTTGTTAATGTAAACTTTATATAACATAATTAACACGTAAATAACAACACCATGCTTAATAATTAATTTAACTTCATTTAATAATTAAATAACCTAAACAAGAGCATCATTACATACATCTTACACATTTGCCTAGGAGAGATTGAGTAATTAAGTAATTATATTCAATATTTACCTGAAATATAGTGCAGATCTCCAAGTAGGTAAGGAATCAATAGCCCTATACATTATGAATACCCAACCTTCCTGAGATGATGCCTGATACACAGTAAAAAGGCTTGTACCTAGAAAGGAAAAAGTAGCTCATTGGACTCTACAATTAAGATTGGCATGGTTACAGGAATAGAAACTATTTGAGATAAAATTTCATTACCATTTTTGTGAACTAATTTAATTCAAAACCTTTGATCTAGAAAGCAAACAGACATTAAAGAAACAAAGTGCAACAGACATTCTTATTGCTAGCAGCAATTTCTTAAATGCATATTAGAAAATATGTGGCTGGCAACTTAATTTTTATTGTTTTGAAATGAGTTTAATTAACTTACTAAATTCTTCAAATCCATTGAAGCCCATGATGTATTTGGAGAGGTTGAGTTTCATGCATTTCATCCCAGCTGGGCACTGATACCCAGAGCCTGGGTCGGGAGAGCAGAAGGTGTCAGGTATAGCTAATGAATTAATTGTTACCTCACTGAAAATGAAATTACAGTAAATAAATGTTTGTTTGTTTTTTTATGTTTTGTTGTTTGGGTTGGTAGTTTTGTGTTTGTTTGTAATATAATAATAACACAACACACCCATAGCATTGTTATGTTTTAAAATAATTTAATTGAATGTTGAGTTGTTCACATTACCAGTTTTAAACCATGACAAGTAATGTAGCAGGCAATAATATGAAATAAAAATAATGAAAAATATAAAATGATGCACAAAAGTACTTACCCCGGATCTGTACTGTTTCTAACACAGTGATGAGTGAGTTCTCCAAAAAATTGTACACCAAGTAAACTATACAGTGACATAAAGAATAAGAAAAACAGAGTCACATTGTAAATCTGTTGACTAGATCTCCTGCAAATGAAAAGTTTAATTGTATATTTTTCAACTATAGACATATATAGCTTTTTAGCTATTTCAATGGCTGACAGTTACATGTTATTGTTAATTTTGAAGTCTGAGAATGCTTGGGTTGTCAGTGAGAGAAACTTGTTCTTTAAACAAAAAATAAATAAATTAAATTAAATAAATTAATTAATTTCTTTGTTTACATTTTGGACATATACGTTATCTTTACTTTAAAACTCACAGGACATTGGCGAAATCGCCATTTTTTTTGTATAATTTTTATAATAATACTAAACTACCGTACATAGTTATTTTTACTTGACATTGGCCAAATCATTGATTATTTCGATGGGGCCATAACATTTAAAAGAAGAAGAAATAAATTAAATTAAAAAAAAACATTCTGCAATGGAGTAAATACCTTTTAATTTTTTTTTAATTATATAGATGTAAACTAATGTCTTTCAAATAGTCAACAAAAAGTTCTTACTTGAATATTTGGTTGATCCTAGACTTTGGCATAGAAAATTTGAGAAAAACTCTCAAAAAACGAATCATAATCAAGGGTCTGGGGGCCCTCAGTATGCTTAGGTAGCTATATCTTGGCACTATTCCAGTCAACTCAAACATTTGTAAGAGTACAGATACCCAGAGGAAGAATACCATGGAAGCATCAAACTGACACCAGTGGTCCTTTAGGTATGCTACATCACCCTGAAAAAAGTAAAAGAATTATAATGAGATTAATAATGGAAGGAAGACCTTGTCAAAAAGACTATTGTCTATATGAGCTTTTACTCCTCAATGGAAAGAGATCATATCCTAAAGCTATTGGACCTCAGCCACAGATAATATGTACTGATGTGGTAATAATGCCTTTAAATGTTTTATTCAAAATACAAAAAAGAGAGATAACTACTCACCTTGAGGATCCCTCTGATGTGCATTTTGGCAATCATTTCAGCTGTAAATAAAAGTGTGACACAGCAGTCAACTGCAAATGTCACAGTCTGAAGAAAGGGGTATCTCTCAAATGACTTTGGTGTATTGATGGATACAGACATCAAACTTAAAAGCGCACAGAGCCTTAATATTCTTCTGACCCATAGCTATGGACAAATAATAATAAAAACATTTAGGTGCCCAAAACAAGCAATATTTTTTTGTAGATACAAACAAACAATTTCGACTTACCACTCAAAATTTCAAATAGCGAGTTTGCTTAGAGCTTTTATAAATTGCTCTCCTTATTTTTTTTCCTTGTACATATTGAGCTTAAACAGCCAGCATAATGGGAACAATCTTAATACTACTATAACTCCATAATTCCGAGTACTTACCTTATTAACCCATTCTATATCGGCGCTTTCGTTTAAGGATTCTTCGGGGCCATAATCCGCCAGAACTGGCTCCCCTTTCAGGCTCTGTTTTCGCCCTAACATCTTTACCTTCTTGAAGATAATGTTTGAAGCGAATGTAATCCGGGTTTTGGGAAGAATAAGATGTATGTTTGTCACTTCGACACACTTCGAGCAACCTACGGGCTACACACCGAAGAGTACTATTAGATAGGTAACATTTTTGAAAATAATGTATATTTATTTTAAAAACTTCCGTTCTATTTGTTTATTTATTCATTTATATAAAAAGCATTGGCTTCAGAGCCATCAGCTTAATGGTAATAAATAATCAAGAAACCCACAATGTAATATACCTAAACTAAAAATTAATTCGTGTAAAAAATGTAACTACCAAAACCCGCCATTTTTTCACGTTATCACTTCCGTCCGTTCTCTGGTTCTCATACAATCGATTCTTGATAATTTTTTTTTTAATTTATTAAGGCTTTGGCAAAGCCATAAGCCTAAACATGAAGTTTAATTATGTTTCTGTAAATATGGCCGCCACAAAGAGGATAGGCAATTTGAGGCGGCGTGTTTGGATTGACTCGGGATTCCTTAAAACGGGCCGATACGGGTATTTTAGTTCGAGATTCGTATAATTTCGCGTTTTAATCTTCGATTAAGGCACAATAGCACTATCCTATTCCACTTTAAACTAGATTTCACAAAATAATTGAGTCAAAATAAAAACGACACTTTACCCTCCAAAAGGTCCAGAGCGAATCCCCGATTTTTGATAAACGAATGAGAAAGTTGGCATTTAATGTCTAAGGTTAGTGTAGTGAGAGCAATCTAGGTACAGAAAGCTAATAGAGGTATCACCTTTTTACATATCTATTACATATATTATGTAGACAAAAAACCACATCGTATTATTACTTATTTATTTATAAAGCATTGGCTTCAGAGACATCAGCTTAATGGTAACAAATAATCAAGAAACGCACAACGTAATATGCATAAATTAAAAATTATTCGTGTAAAAATGTAACTACTAAAACTCGCCATTTTTTTTCAATCACTTTTAAATTACAACACGTCGTATTACAGTGTACGTAGCTTATTTTGCTCTAATTTGGTAGATAAAATAATGGCACTTTATTTTGACACATTTAGGCTGATGGCTTAGCAAAAGCCTTAATAAATAAAAAAAAATCACTTCATTTTGAATCTTATAAATATTTTTATTTGATTATTTTCTTTATTATTTGACATATCTACCAAAATAGCTGTATAGCACATGGAATTAATAAGTACTGTTGTACGAAGTACTTATTAATTCCATGGTATAGCATCATCGTTTGCCTTTTTTTGGCGAAAAATTTAAAAAGTAATTTTTGCAGCTTTTGTGTTGTTGTGTTCGACGGAGCCGTCCATGAGCCGTCAATGTACGACAACAACGTAATGTACGACAATGTACGACACAAGAATGTGCGGCACGTTTTCTCCTTATTTAACATTGACTTCTTTATTTAATCTGTGAGTTTGACGTAGCGATGCGACGAGTTGTATTTTTTTCAACTAGAGTTGACGTGACTGCTAATTTGAGTTAACTCGACTCGGTGTATGACAGAGCAACCGCGAGTAACGAGTACAACTCGAACCGACGGTTCACCGAGTTGGCCACGACCGGCGGCAGCGCAGCGTGACGACCACGACTCAAGCGTGGTCTGAAGGTCACCGAACCGACTGACCGAGTGGGAACGAATTGCCGACGCTGTATGATTGAAGTATTCGAATGGCAGGAACCAAACCGAGCTAGCTCGAGTTCACTAAAAGTAGCTCGAGTTGACTAATTGTGGGAGAAACTCGAGTTAAATAACTCAATTCACTTATCGCTCCCGACTCGAGCAAGCTCCGAAGGTCACCGAATCGACCGTCTCGGCTCGGCGGGCCGGGTATTGTATTGAACGCGTGAGCTCGAGTTCTTAAAAAAGTAACTCGAGTTGACTCGTTGTGGGAATAACTCGAGTTAAATAGCTCGACTCGCCCATCGCTACGCTAGTTTGACGTTTCTTTGTATTCTTCTCCATAGACAACTATGTACCATAATGAAATTGGAAAGTATTATATTTTATTGTCCGTTGATATTAATTTGTGGCGGCGAGTAATTTATTGTAGCAAGTATCGTTTGTTTGTTACAATTTGTTTGAGTCTTCATTTTTAAATAATTTTGTGTAATTTTACCCTTCAAAAACGTAAAGGACTGATAGCTTGTACTATTAAGTTTGTAACCGTGAAACTTAGCAAGATTACAAAAAGTTTTTTCACGCTTTAATCACGCGGCGAATTATGTAATTTAAATACAAACCACCCTGCAAAATGTTTATTTATATGAGTAAAAAGGTACTAACATTGTTGGTAAATGTGTGTTGCTATGGCAACTCATATCGAAAGTGGCAAACTAATTTATTTAATTACCTATGTTAACTTTTCAGATTGCTATTCCCAAGCAATCAAACGTAACTTGTATAGCATGGAACCATTCTTCAGGCTATATTGCCGTGGGTGGAGAGGAGGGAATGCTGAAAGTCCTGAAATTGGAATCTGGTAAGTTTAAGATTACAAATTTATTTACCTATTTATTTATTAAATTTTTCTTCGCAAAGTTCGCTTGTCTTTGGGTTCTTATTATTAAAATGATATGTATATGAACAATGATGACTAAAATTTTAACCCATATCGGATTTATGAGTGTTACACAGAAACAATTTAATTAGAAACCTGGTATATTATACCATAAAAAAAGGAAAGGAACTCTTTCAAGGACATTCACATACTTATGAGGTTTTGCACCCTCCCTTGTATGTAACTTTTTACTGATGCACTACTCTCTAAAACACATTCTTCATGGAAAAATGGCATAAGTGGTGTTACGTCAAAAACATTTATAGCTTCCTTAGATACAGAAAAAAATATAACTCACATCTTCTCCAATTCTTGTAACTTTATCTATAATATTATGGGATAAAATTACAAGAATAGGAGAGGATGTGCATTATATTTTTCTGTATCTAGTGGAGCAATAAATGTTTTTGTGAAGGTCAGCAAATTCTTTAATTTTTATCAATTAAAGGCAATGAACAATTCACTGCATAATATTGTATCAATAAGGGTAATAACGCTATACTGATGAGTGATGAATGATTATTACAGGTGGAGGTGGCAATTTATCAATGAACCTAAGTTTAGAAGGCCATAATGGGCAGCTAAGGGTAGCAACATGGAATGAGGTGTTCCAAAAATTAACTACAAGTGATGAACATGGTGTTATCATTGTCTGGATGCTGTATAAGGTGAATTCTTATTGACTATTTAATAGAGACTATTCATGTAAACACTGAAAAGACGATATATCAAAGAAAACCCATGTGGGTTTCATGACCCCAACCACTATACAATATATGTCTATAATAAACACACTGTACTGCTGGACTGCTTTCAAATTAAATTTTATTTCCATATTGGAAAGCACTTTTATTCAGCTGTAATCAGGGACAAAAAACTGGTAATAGCATATGTCGCCTTAGAGCGAAAACCTCGCATACGCGTTTTAACATAGCTCATTTTACTGGTTTTTGTTGGAGAAGTAAATTATCAAATTGCTCAAATATATTATTAAAGTAATATACTTGAAAGAGGTATGATTTAACTAATTACTAGAAAGAAAGAAAGAAACATTTATTCAGTACCCTTAAATTGTATGTACATAAAAATAAAACTAAAATTACTGATACTGAATGGGCACCACTCAGCATGTGCCGTGGCTGAGAACAGCCACGTCGCTGGTATTATGCTGAGCCCAGGGAGTGCGTCACAGGCGCACTAAACTAATACTACAAAAACATTGACTTATTTAAATTCGCAATATGCGTACAATGAATTTATGATGCGACAAAATGTAAATTACTAGGCTAACTATAAACAGTATTGTGTTTACTACATTTTATATCTTCGTCCTGAAATATTACATAGAAATCACATATCATGTATTTTTTTTTTTTTTTTTTTTTTTTTATACCTGACAGGCAAAAGACTTACTCTAAGACAACAATATGCTTGCTTATAATAAAAAATGATAATTTCTATCACAAATTAATTTCTTAGTTTTCTAAGCTATTTGCCATTCAAAATATTAACCATGAAAAGTACGTACATTATTGTATTTGTAGGGCTCCTGGTATGAAGAAATGATAAACAACAGAAACAAGTCCACAGTGACAAGCATGGCTTGGGGCTCCGATGGACAAAAGATCTGCATTGCTTATGAAGATGGTAAGTGATAAGCTATTGGAAAACTTAGAAAAGTATGAACTAATGTTTTTGATATGATAACTTGGTTTGGCAATATGGTGCCACTGGCTTAAACTTGTCTTTTTTCATCTGTATCCAGATAGATAAATAGTAATCATAATTGTAATATGTTATAACATTAAAAGATAATTTGAGGTTGTTACCTAGTCAATGTAATTATTGTAAAAAAATAAAATTTGTTCTAAATTTTAAGGTGCAGTGATAGTAGGTGGTGTAGATGGTTCCAGAGTATGGGGCAAAGACATCAAAGGACCGGGTCTGAAGGCAGTGCAGTGGTCACCAGACAACACATTACTTCTGTTTGCTCTCTCTAATGGTGAGCTGCAACTGTATGATGATCAAGGAAATTTTACTGTGAGTAATTTGGTATATAAGTTATAAGAGATTATCAATTTTACTCATACTGTTAAATATTTAGAAACTGAACGAAACAGAACCTGCCATTAAATATGTAAATAGCCTTGCTTCTAAATTCTCACTAAAAAAAGAATACATATCAAGCATGTGAGTTTTGATGTCTGCTGGATCGTAAATTTTGAAAAATAATCTCTGGACTAAATCAGTTTTAACAGCTGACTAATTGGATTAGACCTTCGAGAACTAATTTTTTCTACTTTTCTCCTCCAACACTGCTGTATCTAGTAGCAGTAGAGCTCCTTGTGAAAGAGTTCGTCCAGGGAATTACTGCCACCTTACCTATTTCTGCCGCCAAGCAGTAATGTGTGCATTCCTGCATTCCGGTTTTTAAGGGTGCTGGTGAAACTACCGGCACTTGGGACTTGTCACCTTTATGACTCAGGGCGACAGACGCAGTGGCAATACTTTGCAAATCTTTGCCATTTAAATCTCTGAGTGGCACTACAACGGATAGGCATCTCGCTTACCACCAGGCGTGCGGCTTGTTTGTCCCGGTTACTTTATATACAAAAAAAAGTTTGAAATGTAATGTGCTAAATAAAAAATACGTATCGCGCTGAAAAAAATTCTTAACTCTAGTTACGATAATTGTCACAGAGGGACGATGTGTATTTATAACACTACTTCAGGAGTCAAATGGCACTTACGGCTCGAACTATGATATTTTTTTTAAATCTTGTGTTATTTCTCCAAATCCTCAGATGCCAGTGTCAGTACATGGAGTGTCAGGGTCAATGGAAGTGGTATCCATGGACTGGTATGCAGGTAGAGCGCCGACCAATAGACCTGTTCTTGCAATTTATTACAAAAGTGGCATTATTTTGCTTATGAAGAACTGCATTGAAGAAGGTATGCCAATTTGTCTTTTTATCTTTTGTCAAGAACTAATGAACTATCTTTATTAACACCCAGTTCGTGACAATTTGTAAACGTCAATAGAGGGCCCGAGAGGTTCTAATTTCTCAGCTGGCATGGTTTTCGGGCATGTTTACATGGAACCGAACTACTATTACCGGAAGATGCGCAAAAGTATCTGCTTTGCTCAATTGTATGAAAAAGCTATTTATTTCATCATAACTTCCAGTAATTTCTCTATCCTTTTACAGGTAGGTTTATCTTCCAATGCTATTTTGTGTTGGTTGTGTATTTACATAATTTGATAATTGTTTAAGCGCTAAAGCTAAGTAAATAAATGCAGCAAATATTTGTCAAAAAGTTTGGCAAGTAGCAAACACGCCGCAATAACATCTAGTGAAATGCTACCATAACTTGTCATGTCCTTGAGTAAGCGTATGGCCGTTAATAAAATATTTGAATGCGACTAACATTATCACTAATGAATAGTCGAAGTTTCCATTATATCTACCGTGCTAGTATAAAAATGAAAATTATTTCATTGGACATGCAATACAATAAAAGAAAGAAAGACTAAATGAATCATTCTCAAATGAGTCTATAACTTAACTTCAGAGGATTTTTTTTAACGCACACACGCAACATAGCCATAGCCCTGTGTCGAAACCCTGAGTCGCGGGTGACATGGATACACACACAGACAACCACAAATTACACCCAAACTCGCGAGATAAATAAATGTAGGTTATACAAATATTTCTCCCGGCCCGGGAATCGAACCTGGGACCTCTGCCAGAGAACAAATAAGTAATGAGAACGGACACTCTCCGCCCCGCGCTAGCTTTAGATACCGCACCATGCTCCGCACATTGACGGTCACATTGACTGAACGAGTACAAGGCTGCCGGCGAGCGGTTTTCGCGCTACGACGGCTTTGATGTTTGAATATAGTTTTCATTTATTCTTTACGAATTTCATCATTTTACGTTACTATTTATAATGGTCGTGAATTGTGCTGTGTACGGCTGTTTATAATCATCTAAACGGGATAAAGAGAGGAGTTTCTTTCGTTTTTTGAAAGTTGAAACGAAGTAAGTAAAAAAAATTAAGTCTAAAGACTCATTCAGTTATTGTTTTCTTTAGTGTAGACTAATATATAATACAGATTTATTATATCAATATAATAAGACGCTACGTGAGCTAGACAAGGGTTCTAGAATTTTCAATTTATATTGCCGATAAATATTAAGTAGTAAATATACCTAATTATTAACTAGGATGATAAAGTTGGACACGCAATCTCAAATACTTTGTTTACCTTATTTATAGGTACCTGTCCAAAATATAACATTTTAAGTGCGCTTTGCTGTATATAGTAATAGTAAATAATTTTCGACCGTTGTATGGAGTGTCCAGGGTGTGCCTCTGTCTTGCCGTCCGGCATGGTAACCGTTCGGCCACGGAAGGATTACGAAGTACATTACCCTCACTGATATTCTGTTATAGCTCTTAAACATTAAGAACATACTAAAAAATTATCAAACATGCACACACACAAACCCGCCTGAACAAAAACGATAATAAAATACATTTAAAATGATAAAATACTCAAGAAAGATTATTTATTAGGCACAAACTATAAGGCTGGTACCCGGGATTGTTTTGTCATTTGAAACTACACGTTACTTTTAGTTCTCTGATTACACTAACATTTTCGTTTAAATGTCGATAATGGTTGAGAAACGGAGATTTTTTTCTACAGATAGTGTTGTAGTGGAAACCAATATGTCAGCAATCACATGCCACTGGAATCACAACGGCAATGTGCTAGCAGCTGCTGGCGTCACCACAGACAACTCGAACGTAGTTCAATTTTTTAACGCATATGGCGAGGTTAGTTTGATGTATTTCTTTACTTTATTACTTCTTTACTATATCATGTTCTAATAGTCAGTCATTTTAAGTGTTTCATAAGTATATTTGTATACAATACATACATATCGATGGTTTTCTAGAATAGTGACCTATCTCAAAAGCATCTAACTCATCAGGAAGATGGTTTAAACAAGCGGAGACGCAGCTGCAGCTCAAAGTTGATGAATCGTAGATCATCCCAATATGTGTATGTCATGTGATTATTTTAAGCAATAAAAAACTTGGGATCTAAGTCACTATAAAATTTATAATTTTCTGAATAAATATCAGTAACAAATCATAAAAGGATCAATTTTGGATTAGGCCACTATTTTTGAAATGCAGCGATATATATATAAACTTTCTTAATAATACAGTGATAAATTTTCCAAATTAACAATAGTACTGAATATTATTATACTTCCAGCGACTACACTGAATTAGAAATGCGTCCATTCAATGTTGCTTTAAAGTTGTTGGCGAAACTAAAAGCATAGTCACACGAGCTGCATTCAAACTGCAAAATTGCTGCCATATATGCCTTTATAGTTACTTACTATTACTTATAGTTACTTAGTTTAGTCTATTCAAGTTAGCGACCTAGTATAGTTTCCTCTCTTTCGCACTACTTAATAGTATTGACAAGAACATAAGATGGAGGCACAAGCTTAAGTTGGCGTTAACTAACGTTAAAACACTTGGTATCAAAAAAATTGAAAATTTATGAACTTTCAGCATCTTCGAACTCTACGTGTACCTGCCGGTTCGATGCGGGCTCTATCGTGGGAGAAGCGATCGCTCCGGCTAGCCATCGCTATAGACTCGTACATATACTTCGCGAATGTAAAACCTGATCACAAATATGCGTATTACGGCAATACTCTAGCCTTCGTGTCTGGTACTGAGACAGTCACGTTTTGGGACACTGTTACTCACCAGGTACGATTTGATTCGTGTTTTGTACTGCATTGTACAGTCATATACACGAGATACCTGACCTCCTAACATGCCCAAACCGATCTTTTGGTTCTGAGAGTCGTCTTACGTATTGGTCAAGTAAAAATTAAAGCAATTTGAACTGTATTGTATAAGCAATACAGTGGAATGTTGCTTGAAGATGATCAACATATTTTTAAAACCAATACTAAATCTTGTCATTTGATATCGCAAATAAATTGGTCAAGCAGCTTGTACGGACTACAATACCCGTGGTTCGATTCCATGAGCACTATTTGGTTTTAATGTTATATTTTTAACAGCATTGTTTCACTTTTTAATGTTAACGTTAAACAAATCCCTGGTTGAAATTTGTATTCTGTATTTAAGTGAAAACTATTCGTTAAGGATCAAATTGGCTTAAAAACTTTCTTACAATGTCATTCACTAATGAGACGACCAGGGAGTCATACCAAAATAAATTTTACGGCTCACACGTTAAAGATTAAGTTTGTTTAACAATTTTCTCCAGTTTTTGTGCTCAGTACCAAAAGGTCGACAAAGTGGGCTTGGGGAGTTAGGTATCTTGTGTATATGACTGTACGTGACATGGAGAGAATAATTTGTGCCCGTGCATGTGAAACCATGGTGGTATTATAGTAATGAAAATAAAGTAGTCACCACACTTATTGACAAGGATGAAGGAAGGATGGAAGGTCCGGCTTAGAGCTTTATGTCATCATCAGTAGCAGTAGAGCTGCTTGTGAAAAGTTTGTCCAGGGAAGTACTGCCATGTTACCTATTTCTACTGTCAACCAATAATATAAGCATTACTGCGTTCCGGTTTTGAATGGTAAGGGTGCTGGTGAAATTGCAGGCACATGGGAGTTGTCAACTTGTGCCTAAGGGTGACGGGCGCAGTGACAGTGCCTCTCGTATATTTGCGATTTAAAGGTCTTGAGTGGCATTGCAGTTGCCATAGACAGGCGTGCCGCTTACCACCAGGCGCACGACTTGTTCGTCCCGTCACTTGTTATCGTAAAAAAATAATGTTAAAATGAACTGTTAAAGGCTGGCAAGTTAATTTTCGATCCTGCAATTCACGATGCTATTGATCTTTTACATCATGTTCGCTGAAACTAGTAGAACATAATTGTTTAAAAATCCTCTACATTCCGGGTTCAGAATTAAGTTGCCAGGTTTTATAGAAACCTAATTATTTGCAGTCATGGGTCAATCATATTCCCGACGTGGTGGACATGTGTGGAGTAGAAGAGTACTGCATCGTAGCCACTATGAACAACCTTATTATATCGAATCAACAAGGAATTCAGTGTGATGGTGGGTTACTACACATCTACACAGACATTGTGTGTCAATTGTCAAATTTGAAATGTATAAATAAATACTTAATTATATTAGTATCAAATAATAAATAACGAAATAGCATACCTGTTATATATACAGGGTGTAAATTTGAGACGGGGCAGCAAGGCCAGCTACCTTAATCGTTGTAGTTACAGGAAAACGGTACTAGAAGACTATCCATGAATTTTGAAGATATTTTGATTGGCATTCACAGATTTTAACTGTGAACAAAAACAAAAACAAAAAGAAAGAACAAAAACTTTTCATTTAAAATGTGTGGTAAAAGATTTTTTGCGATTTCTGACATTTCGAGTACTCTTACCTCAGTTGGTCCCTTAGAGACTATTGATCCTTACCAGAGACCGGATCGAATGGCATAAATAATGTTTTGTAAAAATTGCCTTTTATCTTGCTGACTGTACCGTTTTTTCAAAATCTGTGAATACCGATCAAAATATCTTCAAAATTCATAGATAGTTTTCTTAATCGTTTTCCTGTAACTAAAACGATTAAGGTAGCTGGCCTTGCTGCCCCGTCTCTAATTTGCATTCTGTATATTAAGTATTAAAATACCTAAATAAACTTGTCACCATCATCGTCGACCCATTTATACAACCCACTGCTGGGCACGGGTCTCCTCTCAAGGGTTTCAGGCCATAATCCGCCGCTCTGGCCCAATGCGGGTTGGGGAGTTCATACGTTTTCTGAGGGTTGGGAACCTTCTACGACGTGCAGGTTTCATCACAATGTTTTCCTTCATCGAAAAGCTCATGGTAAATGTCAAATTAAATTTCGCTCATAAATTTCGAACAACTCAGAGCGAGCCCAGATTTTCTGGCTTGTTCCCGGTTGTCACCCCTGGCTTTGTTCCCACTGGCGACAAATGGGAAAAAAATCCCATATGTTACCATACCGCGAAGTACATTCTGCTTGACATTCTAAACAAAATACCTGTACAGTTGCATAAAGATATGTTTACAAATGCTAAGAAATGCAAACAATAGATCGAGAAGATCGGAAGAGTCCTCAGGCGTGCATCTATCAAGACCTATTTCAAGCCCCTGAGGAAGATTTCTCAGTTCCTGAGACCCGTGAAATGTAACATCCCCTTACAGGATGCAGGAGTTTACAAGCTTGACTGTGAGTGCGGTGTCTCTTATATTGGACAAATAAAGCGAAGTATTTGTACCCGCGTCAAAGAACATATAGCTGATGTCAAACACCGTCGCGTAAACAAGTCTGCAGTCTGCGAGCATGTCATGGATAAAGCTACACATTCAATGAAGTTTGACAAACCCCAGGTCCTTGCAAAAGAAGTCCGTTATCTGCCCAGGATGCTGCGAGAGGCCATTGAAATTAAAAAACATCCTAATTTCAACAGGGAAGATGGTTTCTCCGTACTACCAGTTTGGTATCCAGTATTTCCTCTAATGAAAAATCCCAAACAGACATAAGATTGCAGTACTAATGAATATGTTTTAGTTTATTCTAATTTCTGTTAATAATTAATAATAAATTAAACTTAATAAAAATTCATTCAATAAAATAATTTGTAAAACTTAATGTAGCGTAAATTGGAATGTTTTCTTTGTAAAATTAAAAATAAGGTATTTAATTAATAACTGATGTAACTACAGTGAAAAAATAGGGTGGTTTGCATTAATATTAGACATAACTGGTTGAAGACTGTACCACCTCAGTCAACCGTGACCATGGGACCTGTAAAAGGCCCGAAACGTCGGTTTGTTTGAAAAAACAAATATACGCGATTTAAATCCGGAAAAATAGTTTCATTTCCTATGTGTAACAATCGCGAAAACCTAAGAACTCGATAAATGCAAACAAGTTTAAAAAAAGTACAACTTGGGTTGCATGTCGCACTCATAAAAAAGTGGCGAGTTAATTTGCGATGCATTCTGCTTTCACATAAACCCTTTAAAGGGTTTTTGAAAGTGTTGTGTTTCGAATAAATAAATTTAAAAAATAATAAACTGAACTAAAAACTAAACACCAAAATACTAAATAATAACTAAGCGTTGTATGTTCCATTAACAGCGAAAACGACCACAATACCTGTAATGTACGTAGCAATCAACAGCAAGACAGTGGCCGTCGCAGCATCCAAGGAATCTTTTATGATCTGGAAGTTTTCCACGCCATCTCGTCCGCGTAAGTATTAATTTTATGAATACAAACGTGTTCAATTCTACAGTATCGTTATGTTAGAACTCGCCGATTGCCTCTTTTCTCACTAGTTCAGTTGGCCTAGACTATGGACGTGAATTTTTCTTTTATAGTATTGAAATTATTTTTTTCAAATTCAAGTGGACAGCGCTAGACAAAAAGTTATTTTAATTTTTTATATAAGCTCTCTCAACTGAGCAAAGAAACGAGACAGCAGACCTTACGAACTTCTCTATACGATTGCTGCAGATTTTTGTTTACATTTTTCACGGTTTTTTAATGTTACAATGGAGCCATAAGTGCACAAATGTGTCCAAACGTTGAGTGCTAACTTATAATCGTTATAAGATCAATCCTAGTGTTTAATTTGCGCAAATATAAAATAACTCTTTTAAGTTAAATAGTTCGATGAAGAATGCAACGATCTCGGTGATCCAACAGTTATATAGTGGAGGCTGGTCAAGAAGGTCCCGGGATCGATTTGAGTATTAAATTTCTGAATTTTTTCCGGTTTAGGTGTTGTGGGTAGTGCCCCAGAATAATTACTGTTTTCTGGTATTCATAGTATGTACCTACATATTAGACAACATCACATACGTTGCCCTGATCCCAAAGTAAGTAGATATAGCACTTGTGTTATGGAAATCGGAAACAACGACGGTTACCACAAACACCCAGACCCGAGACAATATAGAAAAGTTATTTTCTACACTGATCCGGCCGGGGATCGAACTTGGGACCTCAGAGATGGCGACACCATGAAAACCGGTGTGCAAGCGACTCGACCACGGAGGCCGTCTAGACCTACAGGGAATTCCCTAGCTTGAAACTAGCTAATTATGCTCGGGCCACATAGAGGCGGCCGCGAAAGCGTTCCGGGCGCGGGAATTTTTGTAATGTACAACACAGGCACAGGCCAGAGCATTAATGTGGCTGTCCGGCACACTATTATTTATTATTATTAAAAGGAACATGCTGAAGCTTTTAACATTACTTATTTTTGCTTTTTAATTTTTTTCATACCGAATTAGTTAATCAATATTAGAAAACAAATTATTAGTTATTATTGCATATTGATTTTTATATTTGCACACATAAAATGCTAGATGCTACCTATTTATAACTTCACATTAATATTTAATAGAAAACAATAGCGTTTGAACACATTCGTGCAAAAACTTTATTTTTAGATCACGACGGAGACGTTCCTGGTTTAATAATATACTGTATTTTTAAAATTTTTCAGGAAGCACAGAGTTACTTTTCCATGCTGATGGAACACCCATCACATCCGGGGAGAGCGGTTTTCAAGACGACACAATCTGCTGTATTACATGTTCCGACAGCCACTTACTCGTAGGCAGAGTCTCGGGCACCATATTGTTATTCTCAATGGTTAACTTTAAGAAAATAACTTCCATTAACATGAGCTCAAAAGCATATAGAATGGGATTAAATTCGAATTCAAGGTACGTGCAAGCAAGTATTTGAAATTCAACCTTTCAAAACTTAATTATTTTGTGTTTTCATTTAAAAATCTTTATTTATATGGAATGTTCGACGATAATTGATGAAAATAAAATAATATGGTTACTTGAAAATGTTAATATTTTCAGTAAATTTTACGTAATCGATCAGCCCGGTTCATTATACCTTCTTGACACGGATATGGCAAATAACATCAGTATTGGCCAAGCTTTGCGTAAGGATGTGTGGAGCGCACTTTGGGCGTCAGATAATCCACAAATGCTAGCAATCGCCGAGAAAGCGCGCCTTTACGTAATGAGAGATTCTGAACCTGAGGAACCTTTGAATATGCAAGGATATTTGTGCAAATTTAGGGTATGTACTTATTTTAGCAGTAGGACAGCTTCTCGTGAAAGAGTTCGTCCAGGGAAGGACTGCCACACTACTTATTTCTGCTGCTAAGCAGTAATGTGTGTGGTGAAATTGCAGGCACATGGGACTTGTCAACTTATGTCTCAGGGTGACAGGCGCAGTGGCAGTGCCCTTCAGATCTTTGTGTACAGGCGTGTAGCTTTTTATCAGGCGCAAGACTTCTCCATCCCGTGATTTGATATTATAAAAAAAACCGTTCTTTTTATTTGTAAAAAAATGGTCCTGTTTAAAGATATGAATAAAGTATGTAATATATGTCTGTGGTAAAAATTATTTGTTGAAAATGTACATTACGCCATTAATCTCACAATGAAATGTACCTTTTCTGTTTAAATTATATATTAGTGTGCATCGCATTAGGTGAAAATATTTTCGAACAGCTATAACAATAATAATATTTTTTCAAGATTCAGTCAAACTTAAGTCTGCAGTATATTTTTTATATATTTGAAGGTATTATAAGGTGCCAGATAAAGTTCAACACATTAGGACTATATAGACGTTTCAATTGTTTGATATAAAAATTACGAACTCCGCTATTAAACGGACCTACGTGTAGTAGTTATAAGAACGTTGTTTAAAAACTAGATTCGGTCGGACCAGCCATCTAGCGGATTTTGATAGAAATACAAAATGCTCGATTGCAGTCTTTTACATATAAATAAGTATAATTTGGTTACTTAACTTACGTAGGGTACAATTAACTTTCGTGATATTATGAGACAGGCATATCAAACGGGCGTGGCCAATATGCACGCATGTTGTTTATTTGCTCCCACAATGGCAGATGATAAAAAAAATTGTAACAGCCTCGTAAATTTTGGTCCGTTACATAGATATAACATAGATTCAAACTCACCTTTTTTCCAGTTTGTTAAGTGACTCTAAAACACCTGTAATTGTCATACCTACTTTAAGAACACTTCTTTCTACGTTAAAGGAACTGGAAATAACATCTGCGCTCCTGGACAGCATAACTGACAAATGCACACCACAGCACATAGTGCGCATCGAAGTAAAGTCACTGCGTGACACCCGCCAGCTAATCGAGAAAGTCGGTTTTAAAGAAGCCGAGAATTTTATTAAAGATAATCCACACCCGCAATTATGGTTTGTAACAATTGTAAGCAATTTACAGTCTGGGCCGCAGAGCGTCTATGAGAGATAAGTTTAAAGAGATTAACATTCTTACACTACCGTCACAGTACATTTATGAAAATGTTATTTGTGTTAAGAAAAATCTTATTATTATTTTAGGAAAAATAGTGACAGACAACATTAATACGAGGAATAAAAATAAACTAGCTGTTCTTGACAGTCGTCTTCATAAAGTCTCAAATTCATTTAAGAGACAATATATATGCTTCTATAATAAGACTCCCATTGATTTTAAAATTTGCCATTTACAAGGTTTAAAACTATCGTGAAACAAAAACTTTATACTAAAGGTTATTATACAACTTCTGTGTACTTGGATGACAAAAATAGTGATCCGTTTAGCTCTTTCAGGTATTCTGGTTCTACGATGTTTAAATTAAATATTGTAATAATAAAATGTCTTCAAATATATATTTACAAAGAGCAACCCCTAGAGTTTCTTGCTCATTCTTCTCAGGAGAATCTGCCTTACGAATGAGCAGTAGAGTTTAATCAGTATGACGATTTCAAGTGTAATTTGCTTACCTATGAAATAAAGATTATTTGACTTTGACTTGGATAGCTTATTTTATATGTGATGTAAGATATGTATTTAAACATAGTTTAAAAAACGTTCTGATAGGATGTGATACTCGCTCCCGATGCTACAGCCAAGACAAATTAAGACGATTGAAGTCGGGAAAATTTTTTTTTTTTCAGTTTTTTAATTCTGTTGGTTACAACCCCGTATTGTTATTAGTGATTATCAGAACAAATCAGTTGCTAGTACCACCACTAATAATCTACCCTAATAATAATACAAACGTTAAGAAAAATGGACTCTGTCATTTGCTGCAAACGCTCAGGCGTAATAATTACAAATGTAGGTAAAAAAAAATAAAAAAGTTTGAATAATAAAACATTATATAGCTCCAATCTGTTTTTAGGCTTTTGCTAGCTGAAGCTGCACTAAAAAACTTTGAATCGGAAAATGCTCTTGAAACCGCTGAGGCGGCATTTGTGAGACGTACCGATTACGCAGGCATACGATTCGTCAATCGTCTCAATGCATTACATTCTAATGCTCTCAAGAAAGCTGAAATTCTTGCTTATTTCAAAGATTTCGATGCAGCTGAGAAGATCTATCATAATGAGGACAGACGGTACGTTGACTGTTAGGACTTTTTCACCTGACTATACATTTCATGACCAGTGGCAACTGAACTGATATTCGTGATGTTTTAGCGAGAATTTGGAAATAGCGTAGCAAACAAAAGAGACCATAGATTTAAATAATTATAAAATTTAAAATAGAATACAATATACAAATATTTATATCTAATATTTGTTTGTCTGTGATCGGTTCCATGCATTTGAAGCGTGTACTCCGCTATATTGTATTTATAACAAAAGTTTGTGTTTAGCGACTTGGCGATAGTGTTGCGAAAGCGCCTCGGACACTGGTTCCGAGTCGTGGAGCTGCTCAAGATGTCCGCTAGCACCACCGAGGGACAGGTGAAACAGGCGTACAGCAACATTGGCGATTATTACATCGACAGGCAGAACTGGTAATACTCCTAAAGCTTTTGGCACTTATACAGAATCAACACATTCATTTAGAGAAATAGGAATGTTTTAATAGCTGAAATTAGTTGAGTCGCTATAGAGAATGTCATCCGAGGCAGTGTAGGTGAAGTATTTTGCGATATGATTAAAAACAGCCTAAGAGTACTGATTTGATTCAAAATTTCCTAGAAATGACTATGACTTAAAATGTGCATTCCGTTTGCGTAATTGATTACTGAAAACTATTCGTACAATTTTACAAGCACAAGAAGCCATTGTTGTGTTTCACTTTAATCATTTGTTGTGCATTCTCCAAATTATACAGGAGCGGAGCACTTGAATACTATGCTATGTGCAACAATACGGAAGGACTAAAGAAATGCTACATGGCCTTAGAAGATAATGAATCTCTTTCAAAGCTGTTCACAACTTCACCTAGAGTCATTAAGGTATTTCAGTGGATTCTACTGTATAATTTTGTTATGGTATACTTGTACAAATTAGCAAGCACACAAATGGCTCACCTGTAGTGGTGACTACGAAAGAAAAAATACAAAGGAAGTGCCTTAAGCCTCGATTTCTATCGGAACCGATGTCGCCTAAGCTCACACTTTCTTAATTTGAAACACTACAAAATCTTGATATTGATTGGTCGTAGTTTCAAATTTTGAAAAGAAATAAATTCTGAATTGTTAGTATAACTTAAACTTTACTCTGCTGGCATATCGTTGAAAGTTCAAGATCTATTATTACAAGTTAATGTGCTGCCATCTAGCGGTTAATTGCTGAACGACGACGAATTGGAGTTATCGATTTAGTTCTCCAAACAAGAAGCGACCATATTGCAGGTGTATAAGCTTTACTTTCGTTTCTTGTAACAAAAAGATTCGATAAACAGGAAATTGAAAATTTATTGAAATGTCTCTGATGATGATGTGAAACATCACCACGGGTAATTGTTTTTGGTGCGGCTATCATTTTTGCACTCCTAAATAGCACAATAACGTATTTCTGTAGGATTTTAGACAATTTGCACAAAAGAATGACACAATCATAACATACAAAGCGAGAATGGCAGACTGAGATCAAATAGGTCTTTCGAGGCCATTAGTTGGCACGATTCAGACGCTAACTAACTACTTCTACTGTATTTATTGTTCAACCCCTGCCTATATCCATAATGTTCAAACTGTAAAACGTAGTATACTTTGCTTAATGCAATTAGAATCCTGGGTAACTCTTCAAACTTTTCAGGAAGGACCGATTAAACCAATAGGTGATGGTTCAAGTGATACTATGACTCAAATACCATCAATCCAAGGAATAATGCAGTTGAAAGATAATGACAGAAATCTACAGGCTGCAACTATGGCAGTTCAAGTAACTATAATATCTTATAATTGGTATCTTGTTAGGTATCGCTTAATGTAATAACCTATGTTTAATTTTTTTTTCAGTTGGCTACTATGGAAGCGTCCAAAAAAGCGTCTCCGTTACGGATTAAAAAACTTTACGTTTTAGCTGGCCACTTATACAGTCAAAGTTCAGTGGGTAAGCCCAGGTTTCTTTACTATGATTTTTGTTATACATTCAACTGAGATAAAGGCTGAAAAGTTATAATAACACTGCAATAAGGTGAGTGTCTCAATAACTTATAAAATTTGTATGACTTATTGGCATGTAATGTAGAAGGCGCGAGTAACCGGGAGGCGGCTCGCAGTTACCGCGCGGCCTTGGCGCAGCACTGGCTGTGGGTAGCCGCGACGCGTGCGCAGGCGCGCCCGCTGCGCATCGACGCCGCGCTGAGAGCCGCCGCAAGACTCAACGCCTCTCTCCAAGACCTCCACTCCGCACAGCACACGCAGGTAAGCACTACTAGGCTATAGAATGTTTAACTGATTCTTGGATCTTGTCAAACCAAGAAGCAGGTAACTGATGATACGTATTTGCTATTTTTATATCCTTACAATAAGACCTATTCAGGTATACAATCTAGACAATCATTTCTGTCCAGTCAGTGAATAAGACCACACTAACAGTGCGTAATGTGTTAATATTATAATAATAATGTGTTATCTCAATAAATTTATCAGTCGACTGTTCGACGTCATGATCGCATTAGGAAGGACTCTCGTCGTCCATCATGCCAACTAGTATTGTCACTACCTGATTTGCTGTCTGCGCAGAGGGGATGAGTTTGCCTCTGCTACCGCGCCGTCTGGCGAAACCAATTTTGCAAAGCAAACAAATAAATACCGCCGTCCGGGGCGGAAATTGTGTATGGACTACCCAGTTATACTTGTCCGTTTACAGGTTTGGTGTATCATCGCCTTTGTAGCAGTTCAAGCACGATCATTTGAATTATGTTCCAGGGCATTTATAAAGTTGGAAGCACATGATGTAAGAGATTTACATTTTACTTAACATACATTGTATATATTGTTTCATGCAAATACTTTTTGTTACAGCCTGGTGCTTTCGAAAATTTAGCCATAGAAATATTTACAAGATGTAAACCCAAAGACGCTAAAGGTAACAAAATGGATTGTCCAAATTGTCAAGCTGGCATTCCAGAGTGGTAAGTTTTCAAGATCGGTAAGAAATAGATCTCAAAGGGAACCATTCATTTTGAAATGTCGACCAAACGGCACTTTCGTATTCATAATAAATGATCGAGTAATGTGCTAAAACCATTTCTGGATAACTGGATCATACATTGCCCCTATAATAGAGAAACTTGTATACAACTCCCCCACTTAGGTAGTTTCATCTCGAATCCATATGATGCCTCTAGCACAACTCTGTCCTCGAACGTCGTCAGCCCTTTTGGTCAGGTTTGCTTTACTTTTTAACCGACTTCAAAAAATGGAGGAGATTTTCAATTAGACTATTCTTTTTCGTTTTTTGTATGTAAACACATCAAAAGTGTCTAGGGATCAAG